TATCAATAAATATTGCATTACAGATACACACACACAACCCTATGAAGCATGATTCTTCTCAGACACAAATGGGTCTCCCTGAGAAGGAAAAACTGTAAGTCAAGAATGAGAGCAGTGTTACTGAGGGTGGAAGAGAGGTAAAATAGAAACGTGAGTTGCACAGCCAATTGTGTAGTCATTTGCAAGCCCAACTAATATTCCCTCCTCCTGCAGAAGCACCTATTAAAAAATTGTGGAAATATTCATGCTGGGATGAAGGAATCAATGGTGGTTGTGCAAGCAGTAGCTTACCTTCTTGGGCTTTGGAGTCAGGAGGACTGGCTGGACTCAGTTATTCACTTATATATTGGTGGAGTAGGGGCTAGACTTCCTTTTTGAGAATTGTAGGGGTGACTGGGTAGAAAACAGCAAAATTGTGTGTATGGGGTTGTTTTTCTATCTTAGATATTAGTGAAGCAAGTAAGTTTACATATGGATGAGCAGTATGGGGTTCTAATGAAAAGCTTAGAATTTTGAGTAAAGGATAGAGAAAGGCAAGAAGTGGTATCATATCCTAAATTTGATTCTTATTACCACCTCTTTTCTATCCTTAATCTGCCAATTAAGGTGGCAAAAGACACGCTACATAAAAATTAGGGCAAGGTCTTTCCTCTCCCTCTTAAATGTCCATTGAGAGTTACACACCAAGTCATGCCCAATGAAGCATCGCAACATCCCGGGAAGCTCCTGTGTGTATGCGCTCATGAGCACATTCAATTGTATGTTCCTATTCCCTCGGATTAGCCTTATGGCAAAGTTAACTCATGCCGGCTTCAAAGGATATGGGGCAACCATGGTCCATTGTTGAGCAAAAGGGATATAGATCAGCTGCCAATTGCAATCAGGGAGAAGGTTCAGGCCTATTCCACAAAGCTAGGAATGGCACCAGAAAGTCTACCACCTTCATCCAGGTCAGGGCAGCTAATATCAAGGATTGATAAGCAGGGATCTTTAAAACGTTAAAGCCTCCTCTCTACTCCTGTCCCAGAAGAGTGAAATTCATTTGTGTATGATAGACACTATACAGTATATTTGAGTGCCACTGTGGACCTCCATTTGACAAGCATTTATTGAGCACCCACTATGCTGAGGAAAGATACAGATGAACCAGAGAGACAAAATTTCCATCTCAGTCAAGAACCTGCCCCTTCTCAACTGAGTGCTTTTATGTCATTGTCCAAGATAGATAAATGAACAGCCTTACAACTCGATTTCAGAATTATAGAATTCTATTTGCTGCATAATTATTGACACCCAAGAAATTCTCAGCCTACCAAGACTGGTTATACATTTCATAATTTCTACTCTACAAATTCTCCTCTCTTTAAATCTCAAGTCCCAGTTGACTAGCCAGGATTCATGCCCTAACTTGCCAGCTTAAACTTACTTGATGGCCCCTTCTTGACTGCGGTCAGAAGTCATTGTAGGTTAGTCAAGTCAACATTATTGAGTGGCCTCTAGACTTAAGAACCTACCTAAGTAGCCTGTTCTTTTATACACCAGCCTCCCCAAAGTTACTCTAGTGGAGTATAATACACAGACCTCAACCCTGGCTCCTTTCTTTATGTTCGCATTTCCAGAATGGCTGCTTTCATTAGGGGCTGCTGTCTGGGAATGAATCCCAGGCTAGCAAAGGACTGCTCGAAGTTGAAGTTGAGATCACAAAATGCATATGGAATAAAGCAGGGCTGGGCACTGGAGCACATGGTACATACCAACTTCCTGATGTTATAACAACATGGCAAAAATAGGCAGGCAGTCATAAAATCCTACTCATTAATTCTCATAACTACCTTCGAACTCTGTACCAGAATTTTAGAACAAAAACATTCAGAGGATGGAATAGAGAAACAAAAGTGATTGTCAAACTTCAGTTGTCAGCCTGGTCCACAGGCCCCTGTACTGCTGCAGATTACTGGTAATGAGACTATGTTCTAGCACCAGTCTCCACGGTGCCACTCCAAAGGCACAGAGTAAATGCTGTTGACAAAACTTCTAAGTGCTCTAATGAGCAGAGTTTGAGAGATGAATAATTCCTTAACAGAGCATGATACACACGCTAAAGGTGGAGGGCATGCTTAATCTGGTAATCGCTTATAGAAAATCTAGGTAATTTCTCTGGAAATTACCCAATTACCCAAGAACAAACCCAATTACTCACAATGTGCCATACTGGGCAGTGCTCAGGGAATAGCTTACCCTGCACATCTACCTTCGATTGACAAACTCTCCTCCCTCAGCCCCCTCCACCTGCCGCCAGCCACTTGCTGTCCAAATAGTGGAATGAGAGTGGTTGCTGGCATTATCTAAGAGGTAGCATGAAGGAAGAAGTACCCTGAGTTTGGGCGTCATTTCATCATAGTGTTCTGCTGTGATCTGCCCCTGAAACTAGAGATAGACTCTGGGGAACTTAGAAAATATTATCGCTAGTTTTTGTTAGGTGCTGTCCAGTTGATTCGGAGTCTCAGCAACCCTGTGAAAGAAATCATGGCAGCTCCTTCCCCACCCTCGCAATTTTACTTACATTTGAGTCCCCTGATACAGCACCTGTGTCGATCCATCGTGTTGAGGCTCTTCCGCCTTTTCACTGCCCCTCCACTTACCAAGCATGATAACATTTTCCAGGCACTGGTCTCTCGTGGTCATGTGTCCAAAGTACATGAAATGAAGTCTTGCCATCCTTCCTTCTAAGGAGCAGTCTGGCTGTGCTTTTGGCAGTCTGTGATGCCTGCAATATTCTTTGCCAGTACCAAAATTCAAATGCATCAGGTCTTCCTCCGTCTTCCTTATTCAATTTCCAGCTTTCACATGCATATGAGGCATCTGGGAATACCATGGCCTATTTCCTCTGATCATTTTCCTGCCACTAGTACCTGACCCACATACAGTCTCAACAGATGTCCAGATCTGGAAAACCTTATTATGAGACAAACTGACCAAAGTGACACCATTTTGTTCACTGCTGAATGACCTGCCTCCTTTCCCCTCCCTTCTCAGAAAGCCCCGCTAGTGATTGATTTTAGAATGTGCTCTTGGGTTCCCAAGAACAGGATATTGTAATTAATCTTGTTGTTCTTCAATATTGTTCCTTTTGGTGATGTAATCTAAATGTTGTGATTAATTATGTTATTCTTTAATTTTGCTCCTTTTGATGTCGTATCCAGGATGTTATAATTAATCTTACTAAGGTTTTTGTAAATGTGTACTCTGCTTTGCTCTAAAGGTTACCTGCTCACTCTGTAGGAAAGTCCCTGATAAACAGGTTTTTGCCTATATAAGCTGGCTATTAGCACCTTTAGATTCTTGCAGTCCGGATAACTGAATGAAGACTTCTAAATTTCAAGACATTGTAGTGGCTGTCATTTATTTGAATCCGCAACGCTTCCCAGGACTCATTCAATGGTTGTGACCAAGGACTTTCCCAGAAGGGCTCTTGTAAAGTGTCAGGGAAGCTGAAGTCAAACTATAACACTAAATTCAGTTTCTCTTCTCTTGCGAGCCTTCATCCAAGAGAGCGTTGCCCTCTTTTCATACTTAGATTTGTGTTTGCAGCTATTCAGTTTTTGCTTTAATCACCTTTGACAGTCATCTGTATGTGGTGGTGGGGTGCACCATCGAGCTAATTCCAATTTGTACATCTCCTTTAGAACAGGCTAGAATGATTCACATTTCTGAGGCTGTGAATCTTTACGAGAGCAGATTGCCAGGTGTTTTGTCACACATAGCAGTTAGGGGGCTGGGACTGTCAAGCAAGGAGCCCTTGTGCCACCAGGGCGCTTTCATCTGTATGCAAATCATTGTTAGGATGACTATTTAGGGAATAAGGATTTGATGCCCTACTAGGTCTTCAAGAGCCCTGGTGATGTAGTGGGCTACATATTAACCTGCTAATCACAAGGTTGGTATGTCAAACCCACAAGTTGATGATGCCGTCTGTCTCCAAAAAAATTTAAGTGTCAGAAACTCAGAGGGGTAGTTCTATCAAGATATTAGCATTGACAATTAATAATCATTTAGACCCTTGTAGAATCTCAAGATATCAGTCCTTTAAGGTTTCGAAGATTACAGATTAACAAGAAATACTAAGGTCTTCACTTCCCCCAAAACTCCAAACTCACTGCCATAGTCGATTCTGACTCATAGTGACCCTACTAGGACACGGTAGGACTGCTTCTGTGGGTTTCCAAGACTGTAACTCTTTCTGGAAGTAGAAAGCCGCATCTTTCTCCCTGAGAACATCTAGTTTTAAACTGCTGGCCTTGCCCTTAGCAGCCCAACGTGTAACCACTACATCATCAGAGCTCATAAGGTGTTCACTTCGTACCCCCGCAGCCACTACCTTTTGAAACATGTGACTTTCATGAGGTATGAACACTTTAGATCAAACTAAGGCTCAAAATGTTTCAAGTTGGACTAAGATATTTCATTGATCCCACAAGGCCCACCAGGAAACTGATGAACCACATGAAAGGGGTTAATTGGGGAGAGCTTAATGAAGATACCAATTACAAGGGGTGGGCAGAGTTAAGGAAATCAAGTCCAGATGATGAAATACCTCAGCAATATCCAATAGATTTTTCTGCAATGACGAACACGTTCTACATCTATATTAATACACTAGCCACTTGTGAGCACTTGAAATATGCCTAGTATGACTAAGCCACTGAATTCTTAATTTCAATTAATCATAGTTAAGTAGCCTCAGATGGCTAATGGCTACGCTGTTGGGCAGTGCAGCTCAAGTCTAGAAAAGAGCCACAGATTACAGCCACTGCCAACTTGCAGACTGGCAGGGAAAGAGGTAATAATACCCTGATTCACTCTTCCTGTCCTGCCATTTCCCTTGGTGTTTCTGCGGTACTCACCCTGAAACTAATAGTGCTTGTTGATGAAGTCAACCACTTTGGGCACAGAATGATAAATACGGAGAATAGACCCTGAGCAAAATACGATACTATGCATAAAATGAAGCAGCAGATGTTTGGTTTATTGACACTTAACACTCCAAATAAATGTGAAATCAGGGACAAGAAATGGGTCAAAAACATGTTTTTCAATAAAGTGCTACAATTTGTTGTTGTTGTAGGCCGGGATAGGAACATTTTTATTTGATTTAGGGTAAAGGCCATTTAAACGCAATAGATGGATACACGCCAAATGGACAATGGGAGATCAATATACAGGATATATAAATCAAAAGCCCACCACTTTAGGTCAGTCTTCAGACAGGGCTTTTTTTCTTAACTCTTTATTGCTGCTCATAGTGATTTGAGTTGAAATAGACTTGATGACAGAGCATTTGGGTTTGTTTTTTTAATTGTTGCTATGTGTTTATCAAACTCAGCTAGCACTCTTTGTAGTGAGAGGGGGGTAAAAGGCAGTATCCATAGGCAGGGTCAAATGCTATTTGCGGAAACCTTTATTGAATATATCGAAAGTCCAATGCTTACTGCTCTGTGCTCAAGGAAGAAAGGTCTAATGTCAATGTATAGGGGTTAAAGTAGGTGCCAAAGGAAAAACAGTTCCCACCACCTCCAAGGAGCACGAGCTTTTGCTCTTCGGGAAGGAGGATGCTGGTGTGGTTATGGAGCATTAAGGGCCAAGGCACACACGTGGTGTCAATCTGATACTCGAAATTCAGACCTGTAGTCAAATCAATAACAGTCACTCCAGGAACTGAGGAAGAATGAATCCAGACTCCTCCAACCAGTAGCAGCTTTCCATTGAGCACATGAGCAGTGTGGGAGTACCTTGGGGTAACAGGAGGCCGAATGTCCACTGATTCCCAACAGAATCCACGAGAAATTGGTTTCAGAAAGACTACAGAGCTCAACGGCTCCTCAGAAGCCCCTAGACCTCCAGCCAAAAGGGCTCCCCCTTGCCAAGTGCAGGCACTGTGGGAATGTCTCGCCTCTGGTGCATCCCCAGCCACAGAAATCCTGACCCAAGCCATTGTCTCCACATGTAGGAAATGCCAGTCACTTAGCACAGGTTCTGTCACGCTTCGGCCTCCATATACAAACAAGTACTTCTGATTCTGATAGGACACTTCTGTTGTCGAATGCCGCCAACGTGACAAAACGGAATCTTCTTCTGAGCCAGCCTTTGTCACTGTCACTTTCTGGTCCTCAGTGCCATTATCCTCTCTTTTATAAAAACAAACTTGGAGGATTCCCAAGGCTGGAGTCACTGGAGACAGTCTCCCTCCCAGAACCAGAACCTCGGTGTCCGAAAGTCTTGTCATGGTGTGATAAAGGCGTCCGTCCCACTTGGCTCCAGGCCCCCAATTGCATATGTGGCTGCTTTTCCACCCAAAGTCACCGTATCTCAAGAGTAAATGAAACTTGCTCACTCTGCAGTGCCGCCCTTCCTGCTCCCCAAAGCCTCCTGCACTGAGAATCACACTGGGGCTCAGGAGGGCAGAGGCGTGGCCATATCGCTTAAGGTTAGGGCCCTGGCTGTCACTCAAGGTCACCCTGGCAGGGAAGACCCCAGAAGGGGAAGCAGGATCTGCCCAAGGAAACACCTCTGTGGGCGGAAACTCCAGGGTTTGGGAAGGGGTAGCTCCCTTAGAAGCTACCAGAATGAAATAGTGCGCACACTTCAAGTGCCACTCCTCAAATTCATCGAACGGTTCCAGGTATTCGATCCGCTGGCGTTCTTCGGGTGGGAGAAAGCAGCGATAGAATGCATTCATGTCCATCGCCCTGCAAGCTGTCCAGCCAGCTTGAAGGAAGCGGCGCCGCTGGGCCTCCACATCGGGGAAGCTCTCCAGGCCGTGCAGGGGTGAATTCCGTTGCCGAAAGTGCTGCAGCATGAACTGGCCAAAGGCATCGCCCGGCTTCATCTGCTCATAGATCACGAAAAGGGCATTGGGAAAACGCCTGGCTGCCCAGGCGATGAGCGCGGCGGCACGCTCGGGCTCCAGGTAGGTTAGCACGGCTTCGGCAAGGAGCAGGGTGGGTGCGGCCGCGTCCAGGCCCGTGGCGAGCAGGGCCTCGTCCAGTCGGTGGAGCTGCCGCAGGTCCAGCCCCAGGATGCGGTAGTCCAAACTCTCCAGGACCAGCGCGGACGCGGGGCCTCCCTCCCGAAAAGGCCCCGTTAAGGCGCGCAACTCCGGAGTAGCGCGAATTCGGTCCGCTTTGCGCCGCGCTACGTCGGGGAAATCCACTTCCCAGACGGCCGCCCGCGTCAGCCGACCCGCACTTTTGAGGCGAAAATAGAGCGTGTCCGAGCCAGCCCCGACAGACAAGAGCTGAGCCCCCGGGGCGTCCGGGAGCGCGCACGTCTGCTCCAAGAAGGCGCGCACGCAGTGCCGCACGGCGCGTGCGCGGACGTAGTAGCCGCGGTGGATCAGCGGCGTACGGCGCGCAGTTCCCGTGACCAGCAAGCCGGCGAAGTCGTCGCGCACGTACCCACGCGCGGCCAGGGAGCGCTTGCTGAGGGCGCTGCTGTCGTTGGTGTTCCGCACGGCCCCCGCTCGTCGCTCGCGACGCCGCGGGCCCATGGCCGGGGGAGACTCAGGAACGACGGCCGGTGGCTGTGGCGAGCTTTCCAGTTCGTACGGTCTCCCCTCGCGGACTCTGTACGGAAAAACCGCCCCTTTTGCGCGACTTCCTCTTCCGCCCTCAAGGCGTGCGTCACTTCCGGCAAGAGCGCGCGCCGTCAGGCCAATCTGAGAGCGTAGCAGGTATTGATATTCAACCGACACCGTTTTCCGGGGCTACATTTCCCGGCCCCCCCCCCCGCGGACAACCTGCTACCGCTTGTTGTGGACACGTGGCTGTGTTCGGAGGGCTCAGGCCGTCACTTTTCTACAAGGTTTTCAACGCGAAAGGGAAACTTAAAAGACCTCAGTTAGTTCACTGGTGAGAACTCTGTAAGTAGTGAGGCTGTGGCCCCGACGACCCGACCTTCTTGGACAGCAGTGTCCATACGCAGTGTTTCTTCAGTACCATGGATGTTGGTGATCATTACTACGTGTTATTTAACGCTCTCATCGATCGAGAGGCCGCATTTTGAAAACACGCGAGGCCAAGTGCAAAGTGATGAAACTATCCCTTGGAGAAGGTGTGACTTTCCCAACAAATGCTTCCCTATAGATAATTATCGAGGTTCTGGTATTCCCGGTCCTGTGCTGGCCTGTTAATGAATCAGCCACTCAGCTCTGTTTCTCTAGAAAATAAAACTCCCCTCTGTTTTGAAATTTTTGAGACTCTACAGTAGTGTTGAATAGATCCAGGGAAAGGGAAGTCATGAAGAGAGGTGATTATTCCTCGTGATGTGATCTGAGCCCATATTGTGTGTGTGTGTGTGTGTGTGTGTGTGTTTTAAAGAAAAATCCAAGTCAGGGTTAAAGAAAACTTCCTAGAAAACTGCTATCTAGGAGATTTATTAGTGGGTTTTTGTAAATGACTGGCTGTAGGGACTGAACTAGAGAAGGAAGTCAGGATGGGATGGGTAACTGAAAGCAGTGTGGGAGGGCAGAGGTTTGGGAGTCCCGCCAATGGCGCTCAAGGAAACGTTTGGGTGAGGAGAAAAGTTTGGTTGTTGAAGAGTAGCTTGTAGATTTGACATGTAAGACTTCATTTGTGACCTTAGAGCACTTTCTGTGGAGCACTAAGAGCAGAATGCATGTTTCAGTGAACAGAGGGTGAGTTAAAGTAGGCAGCCAGCATCAAGTATGCTTTCAAGGAGTTTAACTCGGGGGAAAAAAGCCGTTGCTAAAGAGAAATGCAAAAGCAAGGAAGAGTTGTTATGTTTTGTTTCCAGGGTAAAAAAATCAAATACTGTGCACATATATTAGAGAATCAGCCAATGAAGCGGGAAAGGTTGAAGGAACAAAAGAACTAGTAGAAGAAGGTGATCTTGCGTACAGATTGGGCTTTGAGTTAGAAAAATGAAGGCTTTTCTTCTGACTCATGAGGAAGGAAAGAAAGTACGTGAATAAAGATAAGTTTAATGTTTGGAGAGGGAAGTAGAAGAAACCGATGTCTGCTAGCGTCTTGTTTTCTCAGTAAAGTAGGTAATAGAGTTGTTTGTTCTGTGTGAGAAGGCCTCATCTCTAAAATGAGGGACTTTGTGAGGTATCAGGGTTGTTTGAGGATGGGAGGGAGCTTAAGAAAAAAAAAATTATATATATATATGACCTTCAAAGAGTTCATTTTAAAAAATGGAACTGAAAGATAAGGGAATTTTTTCACAAGGTTTGTGAAGCCCCCTCACATAATAGCACTAGAATTAAGAGTTTTTAAAATGACAAGCCCATAAAATATAGATAAAACCCACTGTTACGATATGGACTCCAACTTAGGGCAACCCAATAGAACAGAGTAGACCTACCCTAGAGTGTTTCCCAGACTATAAATCTTTTTTTATTTTTAAAGATCATTTTATTGGGGGCTCTTACAGCTCTTATCACAATCCATCCATCCAGCCATTGTGTCAAGCATATTTCTACATATGTTGCCATCATTTTCAAAACCTTTTTCTTTCTACTTGAGCCCTTGATAGCAGCTCCTTATTTTCCCCCTCTCCCATCTTTCCTCCCTCATGAACCCTAGACAATTTATTAAAAAATGTTTCCCCATGTCTTAAACTGACTCCTGTCTCCTTCACCCATTTTTCTGTTGTCCATCCCCCTAGGAAGTGGTTTTATGTAGGTCATTGTGATCTGTTTCCCCTTTCTCCCCACACCTTCCCTTTCCCCTCCTGGTATTGCTACTCATTATAGGCCCTGAGGGGTTTATCTCTCCTGGATTCCATGTGTTGTGAGCTTTTATCTGTACCAGTGTATATGCTCTGGTCTAGCCGGATTTGTAAGGTGGGGGCGGGGGGAGCATTAAAGAACTAGAAGGAAGATGTATGTTTCATTGGTGCTATACTGCACCCTGACTGGCTCATCTCTTGCTTGTGACCCTTCTGTAAGGGATTTCTGATTGTCTACAGGTGGGCTTTGGTCTCCACTCCGCACTCCCCCTCATTCACACTGATACGATCTTTTGTTCTGGGTCTTTGATGCCTGGTACCTCATGATCACACAGGCTGGTGTGCTTCTTCCATGTGGGCTTTGTTGCTTCTCAGCCAGATGGCCAGAGTGTAAATCTTTAAGGTAGCGGACATCCTCCTCTTCTTTCCTTGGAGCAGCTAGTGTGTTTGAATTGCCAACTTAGTGGCTAGCAGCCCGATGTTTAATACACAGTGCCATCAAAGACATAAAGGCTTGTTTTAAACAAGCAGCCATCTTAAGTGAAATGTCAGCTAAGTCCATACAGAAGAAGCACATGTGATCTAAGAATTATTATGATCAAAAGGGGGATTATATTAGGCATTAAATTCTGAGCACCTTTACAAAGGTCTGGATGGCAGTGACAGCCCAAAATCCATTTGCAGAGTCCCCACATAGATTAAACTTCCAGTGAATTATTTCTGATTTTTCATCAAGGATGTAGATAATTTTACCCTCAGAAACGTACCTTCTCCAGCCAGCCCAGGGAGGGGCAGTCTCTCTTAGGGGCTTGCCTGGGCTATCCTTGATAGAGATCGCCGTCCTGGGAACAGTCCAGGGGTCACGTAGTCATGAGTTATGCCGTATCAGTGTGGCCCTGACTGCCTTGGTCAGAAGGCTCTGGACCAGTCTTGTAAGCTCATCTCTGTAACATAATGAACTTTTTCCAGTTATGGTCCTGTTCCTGCTCCTGTAACCACACCTGTAATGGTGATGTTTTGATCTGTCACCACTCATGAATTTGTGGCAATTCCTTTATTCCATGCCTTATTTAACTAGTTTCCCCATGTGAATCCTCAGATGCCGTTTGACCTTGTGCTAATGGCCTTCTTCATCCAGATGATGTATCTGTGTCTTTGTGTTGTCTCTGTCTCTTTTAAGACTTAATCAATGTTCTCCTTAAATTGTATTTGAGATGGGGCTCTTTTGCACTCCAAACGCTAGCAGCAGCATTTTAGGCAAGGATCAGTGTAACACTTGGTGAATACTGTGTTTATTGTGGTGACCTTCAAATTTCCATAGATTAACTTTGTAGCCAAATAGGTCAATAAACTTACCCACTGAATGAAAAATTTATTTTTTGAAGGGTCAGCACAAAACAGGTTCTTATGAGGCAGTGGTGAAAAATGTCCCAAATGTCCAACTTTTCCAAATTGTTGTACCACTCCATCATCTGTAACATCAGCTACTTATGTCTTCCTCCCCCAAGTGTTTACCCTCCTGCCTTTGGGTTCCATAATACACTGCAGTGCCTCAACAAAATTCATGAACCGTCAAGAAAATGACTCATACTGTTGTGGAGGCTGGCAGAGCCCAATTCTGTAGGTCAGGTAGCTGGAGCCAGACCTCATGGTTAGAGGGCTTGACGAACCCAAATCAGCAGGCCATATGATAAGCTGTTGGCTCACAAGACTAGAGAAGCTGGTGAATCTGTTTGCATGATAGGCTGCTGGCTTAAGAACCAGAGGTCAGATGTTGAGTCAAGTGCAGGTTCCAGAGCAAGAGGGGCAATTTTGCCAGAGCATTCTCTCACAGGTTCCATCCATCTTATTTGCATTAGCAGCAAGCCATCCAATCCCCGTGGTGGGCCACAGGAACCTTACTTGCATAGTCCCACCCAGTCCTCCTTGAGTCACAAAGAATATGACTAGCTAGTGGTTGAAAGCTATATTAAGCAATTCACTGCACTGCAGGCCCCCCATTGGCTCTTCTAGCCACGGGCTCGTTCATACTTGAAGGATTAATTTACCCCTCACAAACATTTTACCAATCCAAAACAGTCATTACCTGTTAGTCATTCAGCAGGGTGAAGTTATTCAGGTAGCAACCATTCAGGTATATTGCAGATAACCATCTGATCTGGTCAGATTCTCCACTGATTATCCCAGCTTCACCTTCTCTGGTGTCTAATAAAAGTTAACGACAAGTAGTCCCTTCAGTATAGCAAACCCTTCATGGGACTTTAGATTTGGCCACTATACTTCCGTCTAGTGGTACCTCCCCTTTGGGTCACTCTCTTTTTTTCCCAACAGTTTCATTGGCAAGTAATTTACATATCATATAATTAAATAGTTCAACCATTCAATCATATTATAAGAAATTGTCCAATTACCCCTCCATCAATTTTAGAGCATTTCCCCTCCCCCATGGTTAAATCACCTTTAAGATGATTTATACAGTCACAATCCTTTCTAGTGCTCCCTCCGCACTCCCGTCTTCATGAGTTATTCCCGAAATCCCCTTTCCCTCCCGGACCCCCCCCCCCAGTATTCCCTGTATCCTCTTGTATTCCTTATTACCATTATGCATCCACTCTTCCTGTGCTTCACAGTTGGGAGACCCAATAGAAAACAAACTTGGACTAAGGTTACCACCTTAGTGGTAAAACATAATAGTATACAGACAAAAATACTAATAATGTATAAGACGGAAAAGACCCCCAACAATAATCAAAAAGCCAGGGAAGAAACCTGTCGTGGATCAGAAATACTTGCACCCAGAACATATTCAGGCCGTGTCTGTAGGGTGGCCAACGGGCCAAGTATCCTGTGTGATCAGCACCATCAAGATTACAGTGGTCTCTACCTGATCGTAAGGCTGATCAAGACTCTTGCCTGTGGCTAGAACATACCTGCCAGTGTCTCGGTCTGACCAGACACTCGGCACATGGGTTTTGGTCTCTCACCGACCCCCATAGCCATCCACAAATTGGGTGTTCCTAATTTTTACTCTTATGTTTTTTTTCCTCACCATATTCAAGTTTTATAATTGTCATCCTTGGATCAACAAGTTTGTATGCTGCTGTTGTGTGGATTTAGTTGAATCTTTATTTAGATGGCTGCTTATTCAAACAAGCCCTTAAGACCCCAGACACTATTCCGATTGGTAGCCAGGCACCATCTGCTTCTTCACCATGCTTTGCTGTAGCACCCCTATCTTCACTGATCATTTCATGAAGGTGTCAAGGAGGGCCATGATGTAAGAACTGGTTGTTCTTAAGTTGGGGCTAGGATTTCATGCAAAATATGCCTTTATTTTATTTGTTTGTTTGAATTAATTTGCTGTAATTTGGGAGCCAGTACATATGCCATATTGTTCCATAGTTGAATCATGTCGGTTCACTCTTACACTTAGAGCGTCTACATTCGTTTTTACAATCACAGTGAACCCTGTTGGCAATCATTACAGATAACTCATATAATAGTATAAGCATCTTCCCCACTTCTCTTCCCTAGGTCCACCAGGAAAAGAAGAAACCTTATAGTGAAGATACTCTCTTGCCCCCTCATTTTGATCTACTTTATCTCCTCCCCATTTTTTGTTTGATGTTTAAATTGCCCATATCTAACAACCAGTACTCTGAAGACGGACGGGCATGTTTTTTGGTGTGAAGAATCTTCTGTCCAGGGCACACTATCAAATTCCAGCAGTTTACATCAGTGCATGGTATCAAACATCTTTCTCTTCTCAATTGGCCAGGTTCTGGTCAGCTCATTCCTAGCCATCCAAGCTAGGTCCATGGGTACCAGCTATAGACTTGGAAGTTCACACAACTCCTTGTATTTCAGACCAGCCAGCCCCTTCTCCCTTTCTCTCATCCCTAACCCCTGTGGACTAGGCCAATGGGTGCCAGTGGAGCATGTCCAAACTCAGTGTGTCTTTTCATTGATGCACCTTATCTACTTTTCCTCATCTCGTGGCCCCAGTACCACTTCAAGCATACGTACCAGGCTGTCTACTTGCCAGCTCCTTTTAACTTCTAGTCCTGGGAGCAAGTTCTCCTGATGGGCACTGGCTCTTCCTGACTCAATGCTTCCAGCAACAAACTGCTTGAAGCTTCTGGGTGGGATACAGTTTTCTACCTAAACTTCTAATATTTGATTGTATGTGTGGGAGTCACAAAGACTAGGGCTAAAAGGACCATAATAAATATTTCACTGCAGAGCCCCACTCTTAGTTAACAGGTCAGTCTGGAAGGTGATTTGAGTTTGACCCCAAGCAAATTCAAGTTCCTGGTGTTAGATGAAAAATACTTGTGAAAAGAAACCTGGACATCTGTCAGTTTTATTATAGACCTGCTATGTGATATGAGTGCTTTTTAAGGTTTTCATTCTTATGTCTAGATATAAAAGTTCTTCCTCCTCCCAGTCCTTAATAATAAAACCATTTCTCAAACCTGTTTCTGTTATTAGAAAAGTAATCAAGTGTTAAATACCTGTTGGGCAAGGGGAGAGGTAAGGAACAAATGCTTGTTGTAAAATATTTAAATTACAGGGACATATAGAAGGAGCCCTGGTGGTGTAGTGGTTATGCATTGGGCTGCTAACTGAAAGGCCAGCAGTTCAAAACCCCCAGCTGCTCCTTGGGAGAAAGACAGGGTTTTCTTCTCCTGTAAAGAGTTAACAGTCTCAGAAACACACAGGGGCAGTTCTACCCTGTCCTCGTGGGTCACTAGGAGTCAGAATCTACTCGGTGGTGGGTTGAGTTTTGGGTTGATCCTTATGGAAGCAGTTTGCCAAGGCTTTCTCTCAGAATGGGTTCAGATTGGCCATCTTTTGGTTAGCACCTGAGCACTTAATCATTGTGCCACAAGGGCTCTTTATTTCAGGTATAAAGATAAAAGTAAACAGGTTAGTAGGGGTGTAAATAAATAAATGTCATCTTTTAAATAGGTAGTGCAGATTATTTTTTGAAAGTGATGTTATAAATCTTTCCATACTGTCATAGTTAAGATACTCAGTTAGATAGACAATTAACCTAACAACACTCTAAGCGTGCTTTAGAACCAATTCCAACTCACAGCAGCCCTGCAGGACAAAGTAGGACCTCCACCTAGGGCTTCCACGGCCATCGTCTTGACCGAGGCAGACAACAGCTCTTCACTGGTGGACCGTTAGATTTTTTTGGAAGCATTAAAGACAATATATTAAAAATGCTTACCACATGTCTGGTAGGTTCTGAATATCTGGTGGGCTCTGCTATTATCAACATTATCATCCATGTTTAAGACACCAAAGGGTCAAAATGGCTACCTTGAAATGCACTACCTTTCATTTGGAATTTTACTTTAATTTGTAAGTTACCTTAAACATCATTTCAGAGGTAAAGGGAATGTGCCTGCCACTGTGCTACAATGTGCTAGGCACTGTGAGGTGCTAGGGACGCAGTCTAAGCCGTCCCCCTGTCCCGAAGACATATGTCGTCTGTGGAGGGGAAAAAAATTTCTGTATCAGTAATGTGACAAACACTGACATAGAGGGAGTCATTGGATCATATGGAGAGAGACAGTGGAGACATTTACAATGATCTTCATGATTTCAGCTACTCTTCGTTTTTATCAAATGAGGAAAGTGACAGGCCTCGCAGCTATTACACAGCAGAACCAGTAAGAGGATGAACACAAGTCCACCTGACTCAACTTAGCTTCCTTATGAATAATATGCCCTCCGAGGTACTTTTACATGTTTTAATTAATTAAAAATAGATAAAATTTTCATCCTAAATAAGCTTGATAAAATTTCTAGTTTTGGAGGGGAATTTCTGTTTTGTCGAAAGTGCCAATAGGGAAGCCATCCATCCTACTGTTAACCAGTTTCTAGAGTATATTGCTTGCTAAATATTTTTCTATTCGAGACAGGTAGCTTTGGGGAGGCTTTGTCTTTTAATAAGTAAATTAGAAAAAATATTTTCACCATTATTATGTCAACATCTGAAAGTGTCCAAAATTATCAAACTAGCTGAAGCTGAGCCCAGAGCTCTGCCTGCAGTTCCCCCTGCCATGTAGTCAGTTCCGATTCGTGGTGACCCTGCCACAGGATAGTTTAAAACTGCCCCTGTGAGTCTCCAAGACTGTCACACTGTGGGAGTAGAAAACCTTGCCTCTCTCCTGCTGAGCACCTACAGCTGACCTCAACAAAATGTGTGAAAGAAAAGCAATCAGAAGGAAATTCGGAATCACAAACCTTGTTGACTGAAATATACTGTATTGTCCACAGAACAGGATGGTGTAGAGAAGGACCTCCGTTTCCCTGCAGAAATCATGGTGGAGGCAGAACAGCAACAGGCATGGAAGAAGAACTTTTACTTGGAATTACCCAAAGTGGTAAGAATTGATGAGTGGTTACTCAGTATAATGACTTTTGTGTTGTTTCTTTTTCTGAAACAAAAGTCACTTAAGGAGTTTAAATTTGGAGTAAGAACTTTTAAGTTTAGAATATACTTAAAAAATTTTCAATTTATAATTAAAACTTTAAGAGGAAAACTTTAAAGATGTATAACAGCCTAATAGGCTCTTTGCCTAGTTTAAGCTACAAACATACCTGGTACCGTGTTATGAATCAAGGGAATATTTGATAAATATTCATTGATTGTATTCCCCAAGGAACTTCATGCCCACTTGAATGGATCCATTAGTTCTAAAACCATGAGGAAGTTAATAGCCAAGAAGCCAGACCTGAAAATCCACGATTGGATGACTATGATTGACAAGGGAAAGAAGAGAACTCTGGAAGAGTAAGTTTGGGGAGTTTATGAACATACTTTTTTTTTTCTATTAGCATTTTGAGATTATAAGTAGTATGTAAAAAATCACATTAATAATTAAATAGGTAACCCTCTGGTAAGTAGAATATATTTGACATGTATTTTTTTTCTAGTTGTCAGACTGTTGGTAATATTTTTTTTTAATCATTTTATTGGGGGCTCGTACAACTTTTATCACAATCCATACATCCATCCATTGTGTCAAACACATTTGTACATATGTTGCCCTAATCATTCTCAAAACATTTGCTTTCTACTTGAGCCCTTGATATCAGCGCCTCAGTTTTTCCTCTCCCTCCCCGCTCTCCCCTCCCCCATGAACCCTTGATAATTTATAAATTATTATTATTTTGTCATATCTTACACCATCTGACGTCTCCCTTCATCCACTTCTTCGCTGCCTGTCCCCCAGGGAGGAGCTTATATGTAGATCCTTGTAATCTGTTCCCCCTTGCTCCCTCACCTTCCCTCCACCCTCCCGGTATCCCCACTCTCACCACTGGTCCTGGGGGGTTCATCTGTCCTGGATTCCCTGTGTTTCCAGTTCCTATCTGTGCCAGTGTACATTCTCTGGTCCAGCCGGATTTATAAGATAGAATTGAGACCATGATAGTGGGGGGGTGTTGGTAATATTTTTAGTGATTTATGCTGTTTGTAAGTTATTACTATACTAGAATAATATTTAGACTTGAAAATATAAACTTCTGTATTTCTTCTGATTGTTTCCTGCAGCTGAGAGGGGTGAAGAAAAGTCCCTACTTAATTATATCCATAACATTTTATTTTTAATCATTTGATTGTCTTTCCAGATCAATGTAATTTTTGAAGAGCATATTCAATATATTTTCCTATAAATCAATACCAAACACACTACTATTGAGTCAGTTCCCACTTACAGTGAGCCTACACAGGGTTTTCTAAGCTATAAGTCTTTATGGGAGCAGGTAGCCTCATTTTTCCCCTCAGAGTGGCTGTTGGGTTTGAACCGCTGATCTTGTGGTTGCAAGTCTAAAACTTATCCAACAGTGCCACCAGCACGCCTATTTAAAGACTTAGTTATTGTCAGCCTAAAAACTATGAAGTAATTGGACTTAGTGAATTTTTTTTCTTGGGTGGATTTTTTTTTTTACGACTAGGCTGTTTTAAAGTTTTCATTCATGTTGCAGATGTTTCCAGATGTTTCAGCTAATTCATCAGCTTACTACTAACCCTGAAGATATCCTAATGGTGAGACCTGAAGGAATTTTTTGAAAGGTTTTAAATTTTATTTATGCACTTCTTTCATTGCACAGGAAAACATGTTTTGCTTTTTATGACAGCCCTTCTCAAAATCAATGAAAGATAGATTAGTACAAACTATAATCATTATGAAAGCATGAGAAAACAAACAACAAAGCACCAAGACCAGTATCCATTAAATAGAAGGTAATTTGGAGGAGAAATTTAGCCCTGTTTTCATATTTGTCACAGGTGGGTATGTCCTTGATAAGGCTCTATGTATATTGTATAGAAGACTTTTAACTGTACTAGGGAGACATTTGTAAACCCAGACTCCGAGCTCATTGCCATCAAGTTGATTCTGACTCATCGCAATCCTATAGGACAGAGTAGAACTGCCCTCTTTGTTTCCAAGACTGTAAGTCTTTGTGAAAACCAAAACCCTCATCTTTCTCCTGCTGAGCTGCTGGTGGGTTCAAACTGCTGACCTTGCAGTTAGTAGCCCAACTTGTGACCTGCTTCTTCACCAGGACTCCTTGGGTAGACATTGATGCGTCATTTCAAAAAGTGCTTAGAAATTGGGTGATTAATCAAATTGCTGCAGAGAAATTGTGTCTTCCCTCTGGGGATGAAGGACTAGAGGGTGCCACTGGGATTTTCTCTGAAGCTCTACGATACTAGAATCTGACAAAAGACTGGCCTTCTTATCATTGACCTGACCAGGTTTAATTTTGTGAAAATGAAGAGATGCCATTGATCTCAACCACCAGGAAAAAAAGGGCAAAGTATGAAGTGTAACCTGAGTTTCTGGAGAATGAACTTAACTGGTCAAGAGAGAATTTTCCCCCTTGCTTGAGATTGATCCTCACGATAGGTTGTCAGTAAATGAGCACCTTTGGAGAAGAGTTCATCTCAGTTCAGCAGAAGGTGACTGCATGCCTATAACATTCTGGGCTGAAGAGCAGGAGATTGAAAGAGAGATTAACACAGTCCCTGCCCCTGAGGAATTTATAGTCTGATTGGAGATACAGGCCCACAATTGGATAAATCCAACACAACATAGTAAGTTCGGTAGTAGAGGCATGCACAGGGATTTATAAGACCCAAAGCAGCATTCTTTAATCAACTACTGAACTGATATGGGGGTGAGTCAAAAAGTATTGCTACTGGGGATTCTAGTTCATATATGCACAGATTTATTGCAAACAAATAGTATTTACACACGACTGTGATAAAATGTCTATAGACAAGGTCTACCTTGTCTATAGACAAGGGTGCCTTCAAAAGAAAGAAGGACACTTTTTGTATACTTCCTGTGCCACAGGAAAAATGATTTTGATGTCAGCATTTATATCAAATTGTTAACAAAACTCAAGTGGACTTCCCCACTCATTGCAGTTTTACAACAAGTTTACAGGAATACTGCCCTGTGTAAACCAACAGTTTTCAGATGGATCAAGCGTTTTGAGGAAGGCCAGGAAGAGCTCAAAGGAGAATCCAAGGCAGAGAGATTCGTGCCGAAACTTGTGGTGACTGTTTTTTGGATTCCTCGGGAGAAATCTTTATAGATTTTCTCAAAGGACACAGGACATTCCCATGCCTGATTATGAAGAAGTTTTCAGAGAATTGAAAACTACTTTGGTGAGAAAAAGGCCAGGAAATTTGCATCGAGGAATTGTTTTCTAGCACGACCATGCACCTACCTGCTTACTCATTGAGGCTAGCAAGGGCTGTCCTAGGAGAGCTTTCTTGGGAAATCTTACCCCATCCTCCCTATACTTGACCTTGCCCCTTCAGACTTGGTTTTGTTTCTCAAACTCAACATTTCAAAGGATTACCTTGAGGATTCTTAAATTGCTGTGTTAACAAGGGAAATATCGAAGAGCTCAACATTCTTTGGGAAAGTGTTAGAGAGATGGAAGTGGGTAGACTGAGATGTAGGATACCTTGAGGAACAGTACCTCCAGCTTTTTATATTTTTGTTTAATAAAAGTGTCTATGATTTTGTAATAGTACGTTTTTACTTAGTCCCATACTATTAAGTAGGACTAGGAATGTTCACTACTGGGGCTCTGATTTCACTTTTCTGTTGTTTTTCAAAACATGAAATTTCATATTCTGAGAGAGCTTCATATGCTAAGGGCATGATAATGACATGCTTAATATTTAATTTCTTTCAAAGTTGGTTTAAAAAAACCCAAAATACTTTATTAAAATGAATCATAGAATTAAGATTCTCCAGTTAGTGCTACTGGGATGAACACTTACAGGGATTCACTACATGGATTCCACACACATGTGTGCACACACACACCAAGAAAACAAAAAACACTGCCTTTATGTTGATGCTGACTCTAATGACCGAGTAGAACAGCTCTGTAGACAGTTCGAGGCTATATGTAAGTCTTCGCAGACGGCCTAATTTTTTTCCTGTAGAGTGCCTGGTGTGTTTGAATTAGTTAAATTAATAAAGTCCACACATGAACAATCTGTGGATTATTTATAAGCTAGGGACCAAGGGACTGAAGACTCCAGATGACCTGGGTATAAGCTCAAAGAGAAGGATTGGGTTGTAAATGAAGCAAACATTTTTTTACTGGCATAGTTAAAGTCAGACTTCGGATTGCAAACGGATTAGCTGAGGTAGTGCCATCAGTTACACCCTGACTGCACAATCAACCAGCTCTGTACCTTTGCCAGGACTGCCCTTGCACTTGAGATTAAGATCAGGATACCAACGATTGGGACTAACTAGAGGTTGTCACAGCGTCTTCAACCTGGTACTTTTCTAGATTTTTGTTACTTTTAGGATTGATAGCAAAGAAGACGTTCCTGCAGCCTTACATTTTGTTTACCCTAGTCATTAGTTTCGGGGTTGTCAAAGTTTCTACGAACTTGGACACATTTTTACAGATATTTATGTCTAAAAGGAATTTTCCTATTTGGGGTGGGGGGTGAGGTGAGGGGAATGGATTTAATATCAAATATAATAGATGCGAGAATAACTTGAGTAAGAACCTTCAGTCATGACTTGAAATGGTGTACCTCATTTCTCTGCTTTCTAAGTCTGCTGTTTTGAACCCTAGGAAATAGAGAAATGGTTAAAAGGTGTGGGTGATGTGCAGAGTTGAACTTATTGTGGGAATGAGAGCAGGGATGAGAAATGGAACTCAGGGTCTCCACCAGAGATGTGATAAGGTAGGTCTACATATGGGAGACCTACAACGGTACTTGTAAGTCACAGCGAAGGCAATGAAGCTGAAACACTCGGGCCGTGACTGGGGAACCTTAAAGTGACATCAATATAATGTACATTACCTTTGTTGTCAGGTTACAAAAGATGTTATTAAAGAATTTGCAGATGATGGTGTCAAGTACCTGGAACTGAGGAGCACACCCAGAAGAGAAAATGCCACAGGTAGACTGATTACTTCTTAACAATGCCCCTTTCCCACGTGCTGTGTACAATCAGGTGTGTGCGGGTTGTGAGTATGAAGGACTTTTACACTGTTGTCTTGTTCTCTGTTTTGCTGAGCACCTTTTGAGTCATCAGTCCAAAGTAACTGTTTTTTTTTTCTTGGGAACGTGTGTGTGTGTGTGTGTGTGTGTGTATATTAATCATGTTATTGGGGGCTCATACAACTCTTACCACAATCCATACATCCATCCATTGTGTCAAGCACATTTGTACATCTGTTGCCGTCATCATTCTCAAAACATTCGCTCTCTACTTGAGCCCTTGGTATCAGCCCCTCATCCCCCCCCTCGCCTCCCCCTCATGAATAATTTATAAATTATTTGATTTTTGATAATTTATAAATTATTATTATTTTGTCATATTTTACACTGTCCGATGTCTCCCTTCACACTTTTCTGTTGTCCTCCCCTCAGGGTGGAGGTTATATGTAAATCCTTACAAATAAATTATTTGATTTTTGATAATTTATAAATTATTATTATTTTGTCATATTTTACACTGTCCGATGTCTCCCTTCACACTTTTCTGTTGTCCTCCCCTCAGGGTGGAGGTTATATGTAAATCCTTGTCATCGGTTCCCCCTTTCCACCCCACCCTCCCGGTATCGTATCGCCATTCTCACCACTGGTTCTGAAGGGATCATCCACCCTGGATTCCCTGTATTTCCAGTTCCTATCTGTACCAGTGTACATCCTCTGGTGCCAGATTTGTAAGGTAGAATTGGGATCATGATAGTGTGTGTGTGTAGGGGGGGGAGGGGGCGGTTAGGGAAGCATTTAGGAGCTAGAGGAAAGTTGTATGTTTCATCGTTGCTACACTGCACCCTGACTGGCTCATCTCCTCCCCATTAATGAGTGAGTTATGCCTAACTAAAAAAAATAGAAAGTTAGGTCAGACATATCTGTTAAAGAAGAAAAAGGCCTACAAAAATTCCTTGTGTTTTCTTGTTTGTTTTCACGGAGAAAAGAGCACTTGCCCCTTATAGTTGGCTAACTCTTGGAATTCAAGGGAGCTCCTTAGATGACGCCACCGACTGAATGCAGAATGTACGTGGTTCTGTCTGTCCTTAGGGACCAGAGGTTTCTTAGGTCAGAAGCAGGCTGTGCTGTGATTAAAGCCTCTCAGGAAATGGCAGGTCTGGAGTGGTCTGGAGAAATTGCCTGAGGCCCCTCCTTCCCTGGGAGCACCAGGAGATACTATTAGTGTAATTGAGTCACTCTTATGTGAAGAAGCCATACCACATCACCTTGCACCTTGATATGTAGAGCCTAATGTACACTGAAGTGGTGAGATTTTGAAGCTGCTTAAAGTACAGTTGAAAGGAGGACAAGGAAAGGTTCCTTTTGAACTTGTAGCATCAGCCCCAAGGTATACTGCTGAGGGTTGTGACTGGCAGGACAGAAGAAACCCACCAATTAATAGCTGGTTTGCGCTTTCTAGGAACAGAAATTCAAAAGGAGAGTGATAGTCTGAGAATGCAGCAATGGGATGGTTAAATGAAAGTTCATGGAGTATTATGAAACCATTAAAAATATTTGTAAGCACACTTCAGCCTGACCTGGGGAAATGCTCACAATATAGTGGTAAGTGACAGAAGAGAGTACGAATTGCATGAGTGTGTCATCTGTCTAAAGGGTTAAGTATACCTATGTATAGGCACGTCCTTAGAAAAAAAGAAAGTGGTTGGTTTGGAGTGGTAGGACTACAGTTTATTTTTCTTCTTTGTAACTTTCTATTTTACTAGCAACTTTCCATCAAAAATAAGTATTTTATGTTCAGAAGGATGAAAGTATTTTAGAAGAGGTGGTTCTAGAGGCCATCTCTCTTTAAAAAAAAAAAATCATTGGGGACTCTTACAGCTCATAAAATTCCATGCATCAGTTGTATCAAACATACTTGTAGATATGTTGCCAGCATCATTTCCAGAACATTTTTAGTGGTCATTTTTCAGTGCTGCCTGTAAGAGGAGGATTTAAGCACCATGCTAGGAAGAACATCTCTGGTTTCCTAGAAAAGAAATAGTGAATCTAAGCAGGATTGAATTTAGAAAAAGTTCTAAGAGAGGATTTATTTTCTGGACCAGCAGGAAAATATCCTATGAATAGAGAAAAAGTTTCTTAATTAATGGTGTTGGCAAAGAATGTGGGAAGTACTGTGGACTGTCAGAAGAACAACAGCTCTGTCTAGGTAGAAATACAGCTAGAATGATCCTTAGAAGTAAGACTTCATCTCATGCTTTGGACGTGTTATCAGGAGACACTTAATTCATGGGAAATGACACCATATGTGGTAGAGGGGCAACGGAAAAGAGGAAGACTCGGAGGAGATGGACTGATGGAGTGGCCGCACAGGGAGCTCAGCTGTCGCCCTGATGTGGACAGCACAGGAAAGGGCGGGATCTCATTCCGATGTGCTTGGCGTCGCCCTCAAGTGGGCGCTAACTCGACAGGACCTGACTTTTTAAAATGTCATTCTGCAATACTTCATTTTCTTTGAAATTTGTTAGCATGTAATAGAGTGTGGCATAGCACATGCTCATGCCTTTGTCACAACATAAAATGAAAGTGTAATTGCTCATAAAGGGGTGCTGATGTTGAAAGATGAAGTAGTTGATCATCTCCTTACATCTATTAACAGGAATGACGAAAAAGACTTATGTGGAATCGATTCTTGAGGGAATCAAACAGTCCAAACAAGAAAACTTTGACATTGATGTTAGGTAAGAAGTACTGTACCAACACTCTTTGTAATAACTGTATTTTTAAAGCTAGAATGTGCAATTTTACTGTTTGGATCACAAGTACATAGCAAATGGATTTATATAAATCAATCCATAAACAAAACCTGTCTTCTAATTGAAAAAGAACCATGTTGTTTATCTAAAGTTGAGAATGCATTTCTGAATGTACTTCTTCAGCAAATAAATGGCAAGGAAAGGGGAGAATGGCTATAGATGAAAAGAAGTATAGGAGATACCTTGACCAACACAACATATGGACCTAATTTGGTTCTTGAATCAAGCAAACTATAAAAGACAAGTAAATGAACAACAATAGAAAAGAGATCATTGGATATTTGAATACCGACAGGATGCTTGATGCTATCGTAAGAATTTGTGTCTTGTTCCTTCTGGCAAAGTAGAATTCCCCTTGTTTAGACTCATCAGGTTGTACTTTCTCTAGAAAGCTCTATTCCATGTAGTCTGCCATGCCTTCTCATCTATTTGTTTTGACTGCCTTTTCTGTACTAAAGGTATCTGTTAGCAATCGACAGAAGAGGGGGCCCTTCAGTAGCTAAGGAGACTGTTAAACTTGCAGAAGAGTTCTTCCTTTCTACTGAGGAGATAGTCCTTGGCCTTGACCTCAGTGGAGACCCAACAGTAAGTTATTTTTTTCTAAATAGATTTTATTTTTAAAAGGTAGCCTTAATAGGCTAAGGGTAGGCTTGGAGCAGGCTGTGTTCTTCAAAGGGTACATCATGCTATGTGGATGAAGCCCTATCCTGCCCTAGATAACCAGACTGTCTAGAGCAGCTGTTCTTAACATCAGTTCTGAGAGAAAATTAAGCCTCCTTTGGAAAAAACAAAACAAAAAAACATACCCACAGAGAAAGGCGAAACAGATTTGCATGCCTACTTCCTCTGTTTTTCTAAAGATACTACACAGCTAGTACCATTCTACCTATGCAGGAGAGACGTTAACTTGTTATGTACAATGAATGTCTTTTGGCATCATGGCTTAATGATCTGGTAGAGCCCTTGTTGGAATGGGCTGGCCTAGAACTTCAGATGAAAGCAGTGGGTCTCCAATTAATGTGGCGCCGTTGACACTTGGGGGCAGCTACCTCTGTGGTGAGTACGGTCTGTGCATTGTTTAGCAGCATCCTGGTCCTTTACCTACTGGCTGCCAGTAGCACTCTCCTATTCAAACTCACACACCCACTGCCACGGTGTCCCATCACACTTGAAGAACTTCCCCTGAGCTTTTCTGATACTGTAACTCTTGATGGGAGTAGGAAGTCCCATCTTCCTTCCTTGGGGGGGGGGTCTGTTGGTTTCAAACTGCTGACCTTGAGCATCACAGCCCAACTCGTAACCACTACATCTCCAGGGCTTCCCCCAAATGTCATTGTCACATGTCCTGTGGAGTCCAATAGGGATGGGGCAAAATCACTGAAAACCACTGGTGTGAGTGCTATGACACAAATTCTTAGGACGCTGTCTAAACTTGGACGATTCTACGCTTAGTCCCATTTGATAAAATCTTTCCTTAATAACCCTGAGGGTTTTGAAAACAGGTGAGTTCTCCATCGGCACGTCAGGGCAGGTATCTGGGTAAAGGTGGGAAAATATGTAAAACCTCCATGTCTTTTTAACAGAGTTTTACTGAGTATAATGATAAAGCCTATAGAAAATGTGTAGCTTTAATAATTAGTGCAGGTTTATGTAAAACCTCCACTTCCCCACCTTTCTTTCCCTGCAGTGGAGATGGGCTAGCTGGAGACGGGACTGGACGTCAGGACTCTTGTGTTCTAGCCCTGGCTATATCTAAATTTGTTTTCATCTTTGGTTTTTGTCAGTTTGATCACATCACTTAGTTTTTTAGGCCCCGTTTCTTTATAGAAAGGATATGACCTAGCTAGATATCTAGATTTCCTTCCAGAACAAAAAAATTGTGACTGCCATATCTAGCTTAAGTAGTTCGAGTGGTACTGTTGGGTAAGCATTGGACTGCGAACTCCAGAGTGGTGTGGTTCAAGCCCACGGCTGCACTGTGGGAGAAGATGAGGCTGTCTGCTCCCATAAATATTGACAGCCTTGGAGTCCCTACGTAGGGTCACCACGAGTCAGAGTCGACTCAATAGCGGTAGGTTTGGTTGGGGTCTAGTATATTTAGTTTGGCTGATTGGCTCCAGTGACACTTGATGAAGGGCAAGAATTGTGCTAACTTTGTATTTTTCCCTTAAGTGTCTAGAACATTCTTAGTGTTTCATAAACATTTTAGTAAATATAAAAGTGAGTCAGTATGCCATTATTTTTTTCTGCCATTCTTTTATCCCGTTGTTTATTGGAAGAGTACCCAGTTCCTTAGATGGTTTAGGATTATCCTCATTCCAACTTTTATCTTCAAGGCAGGACAAGCAAAAGACTTCTTGGAACCTCTTTTGGAAGCTAAAAAGGCAGGTCTGAAGTTGGCATTGCATCTCTCAGAGGTAAATAATATCATCTTAGTATAGAGGGAGCAAGTGTCAATGGGAATACTATTGTTTTAAAGTGACTAAAATCATTTTAAAGGGGAGAAAGTAGAAATATCTGTAATGTAAAGTAAAACCTTAAGGCATGGCTTGCTGTAGTCTCTAGCTGCCTGGACTTTTGCCACCCGCCTTGTCACTGGCAAGCTGACCCGGAGAGAGACATCAGTTCATCTCACATGTCCTCATAGCGGAAGGGACCCGAATGATGCGTCACGTGCCGTGGCAAAGCAGGAAGTGCCTCAGCCTGGCTGTCATTTGGTGGGTTTGGCAGGTGCTCCTGGGCTCTCTTTGGCCCCCAGCTCTTTCAGCGCGAGCACAGGGACAGAGAATGTACAGAGAGAGGTTGGTGAAGAGTCCGTTTCTGACGCATGTTCTTGTGAGGCAGAAAAGGGCCCCTGCCTCATTTGTCCTCATTTTACAGATGGATTTACTTCCTGCTTCAGTTTCACCCCTTTGTTAAGTGCTCATGTTTATTTTACTTACATCATGGGATTCTTGTGAATATTAAATGGGGTGATTGATAATGATGGAATTAAAGTACGATTTAAAGATAAAGAAAAAATTGGAATTTCTTGCCACTAAGTTTGTTTTTCATGATCTGAAGGCAGAGGGGTTCGATTCCAGGCCGGTAACCTGGTGGCAGAGCTTAAAAACTCTACGGCTCCTGTTTCCACACTGCCCCTAACATCTTGTAGCTGATGCCTGATGGAGATCGTGGGTTGATGTATGGACATTGTGTTCCTGTGATCTCTGCTCTCTGTGCACTGTATCAGAACTTGCTCATCTTTTGAGATACTTACTTTAGTTTCTGTTGCTTCTCCTGTGGGACTTAAAGTGAGACTTTATGTAAAAAGGTAGAGAGTAGGTTCTGAGTCTGGAATTACTACTGTCATTGCAATGAATCTAGAAGATTATTAGGGAATGAATGAGAAGGTAAAAAGTGAAGAAGAAAGCTGGGAAGGTCTAAGTACATCAACTCAAGTGACTTCTTAGAGTTGTGGTTTTCAAACTTCCAAATGCTGCACCCCTTTTGTACAGTTCCTCATGTGGTGACCCCCCCAACCATAAATTTATTTTCATTTCTACTTCATAACTGTAATTTTGCTACTGTTTACAAATCATAATGTAAAATCTGATATGCAGGTTGTATTTTCATTGTTACAAATTGAACCTAATTAAACATAATTAAAGCACAGTGATTAATCACAAAACACAATGTAAATATATATTGTGAAATATTTGTGTTTTCCGATGGTCTTAGGCGACCCTTGTGAAAGGGTCGTTCAACCCCCAAAGGGGTCACGACCCACAGATTGAGAACCACTGTCTTAGAGGAACAGCGTACTGGCCAATAGAGAAAATATGTTTCATTGAACCTCCTCCTCACTTTTTTTCTTTTGAGATTCCAAACCAAAACAAAGAAACACAGATGCTCCTGGATCTGCTTCCTAACAGAATCGGGCATGGGACATTTCTCAACTCCTCTGAGGGAGGGTCCCTGGATCTGGTGGACTTTGTGAGGCTGCACCAGATCCCCCTGGGTAAGGCTTAGTGCTCCAGCTTCCTAACACCTGAGGTTGAAACCCAGAAGTGAGAGAACTGTATTGAAAATCGGCTCAGTCAGAAAATAAAAGCTCACTGAGCCTCATGTAGGAAACAGAAAGTTACTCTCTGAAGGTTCTTTCAGCTGAGAGTCCCAAGTATTCTAGAATGTCATTGTTCAACTGCAAACTGTTTAGCCCAGTTACTCGTGTCTGCTTTGAGTGCTCGTAGAAAGGATTGTCTGTGTGAGTTTAAAGTGTCAACAGTTAATATCAAGCATCGGTGAAAACTGTAAGGGGCAGAGAGCCTAAATGAAGGATGCTGAAACAATATAGGTAGTGAGCGAGCAGTGGTGACTCAGTGTGAAGTATGTAACCACTATTACAGTATTCACATTCATGTGGAAATGTGAACGGATGTGTTGGTTGTATATATTGCCACCAAAAAGAAACAAAAAAATCCTGCTCTCCTGTCAAAGTAATTCCCTGCTTGCTCTATGCTGACTGAATGACTTACCACATTCCACCTTCTGCTCCGCTTTGGTAAAAGAGCAGCACACAGTGTGAAGGTGATTTTAAATTCACTGCCTGGTGCAATTGACTGCCATCCACTGTAGCCTATCTTACCTGTACAACTACGCTAACTACAGATTTTTACATGTTAAAGTCCAAGACTGGATCAGCCCCTGAAACGATTGCCCTAAAATAATTTTTAAACCTTAAACCCAATATACCCCGATGTCTTTTTAAAACCAAGCAGGAGCAAAAAAAAAAACCAAGCAGGAGCTTGGCTTTACTAGTACAGAAAGTCTCTCTCGAGCGGGGTGCTTTTCTGCAGTCTATATGGGATCACATTGACAAATCAAAAGACAGGAACCTTCCAGGGCCATGAGTGTATGTGTCACTGGGGGAGACGGCTGGGAAAAGCAGGGTGAGGATGGCTGTTTAACTTGAAGAATGTGATCAGTGTCGTTGATTCTGTACATTTTAAAAAACAATTTTAAAGTACTGAACTGCAAAGTACCACATTTTTGAAAGATTTTGTATGCATTTATTTGGTGAATATGGAATGAGTTCTATTACCTGGTTTTTAACAAGAAACTTTCCCCCTGTCCTCTAGAACTCTGTCTGACCTCCAATGTCAAGAGCCAGACAGTCCCATCGTACGACCAGCATCATTTTGGGTTTTGGCACAGCATCGCCCATCCTTCTGTGATCTGTGTAAGTTGGGTTATTTGGTGTGCGAAATATTTTGGGTCTTTTTAGTCATTAAGTTGCTTGACACCAGATGTCCACTACCTAGTGGCCCCTGCGTGCCCCGTGACTGCTTTCTTTGATGTGTGCTGATCCTGAGCATGGATATTTTTCTAAAACCCCTGGGTGGTTCAAAAAACAACACAGCTCTGGTCTTTGGTTTTGTTCAGTATAAGCAAGACTGTGTAAACTTTGGGGAGCATGCCAAATAGGGAAACAGGTTCTAAGCAACAGCAACAAATAGTAATTTTACAATACATTTTGTTCATTTGAAAATCTCTTGCTTATCTTGGCAGACTGATGATAAGGGTGTTTTTGCAACACACCTTTCTCAAGAGTACCAGCTAGCAGCGGAAACATTTAACTTGACCCAGTCTCAAGTGTGGGATCTGTCTTATGAAGCTATTGACTACATCTTTGCTCCAGACAGTACCAGATCTGAACTAAGGAAGAAGTGGAATCATCTTAAGCCCCAAGTGTTACATTTTTAAGCTGTAACAAGGTGAACTACCTTTTGTTTACCTGCTGCAACAGCATCGTCCCACAATATCCCCTTTGACGTCTAAGTAGCCAGAATGCTTGTGTTAAGCTGACTAGAAGGCTCCGAGGTCTTACATAGCTTATCTCTTTGCTTCCTACTGAAGGAATCTGCCGGGAAACTCCATTCCCACCTGTAGATTTGTTTTGTTTTGTTTTTAATTTTGTCAAGGAAACACTATCCTACTTGTAGATTTTTTAAATTTCATAGCTTCTCCCCTTTAGCTATCACAGAACTTCAGGGAGCTCAAAGTAGCTTCTTACTCGGACAACTTTTGCAGTCACTAGTGGACATTATTAAGTAATGGGAAGGGGCTAACAGGTTGCTGTCCAGCCCTCTAGCTTGTGACAGCAGCTCTGCTTATTGTGCAGACTTGAATCAGACTCCCTTCCCTGGCCACACCTGTGCCGGAATCCTGCAAGACCGGGACTCCAGGCCACACTGCACACTGTCTGTATGTGAATGTCCAGCAGCCAGGGCACCTCTAGTGACACATTAGGCCAGTTGCGTTAAACGGGCTAGAGTCACTGCTTCAACCTAGGAGTAAATTGTTGTGAGGGTTCATAAGCTGTGGATATTTTGCCACCATTAAAAATGTTGTAGAATAAAATGACATGAAAATGTTCTGTATAATACATACAATTAAAAAAATGTTTTTATGTAATGTTATGGCATATTTTTATTTAATATATGCAGATCAGTAAAAAAAGTATTCCTACAAAATCATGGAAGCCTTTGTTAACCAAAAGTATCCAAATGTGAAGCTGTTGTTTCTCAACACATTCTGTATCTAGGTCTACACCCTTCTGAAGGCAGCAGTGCCTTCTCTAACCTTCCCGAGGAATCTGGCCCTTTGATTTACACCACCTCAGACGGCGATTTGGGCATCCTCCAGGGACTCAAGTTGTATTCCTTTTCGATACTGAATTTGGGGAACAAAAAACATCTGAAAAAGCAGTATCAGGGCTGCAGGGTGGACGGGTAAGGTTTCCCAACAAAATTCACCTCGGACAGCCCTTGTTACCCTCAAAGAACGAGCAAGAGTGTTGTCATGATGGGCTAAAACATTCCTCCATACAGTTTTCCTGGTCTTTTTCTCACCAGTGCAGATTTCAATTTTCTTTAAATATCTTTCCACTAAGCCCTAATCAAAATCACCCCCTTGAAATCCCAAGATAGTCACTGTACTTTCTGAGATGACTTCTCTGATTTGAATTGAACTGGCCCAGTAGATTGTTTCCTTAGCCACTGTTTAGACCTTTCTTTTGAAGACATATTAGTGAAACTAAGACAAGTATGTTAATAAGAACTTGTCTGCAGATATCCACGGGTCGCAGAGACATCATTTAAATACGATTTGTTGGGAAAATACCCATCTTTGAACTGGAATTCTAGAATAATACTTTTTAGCTCACCCTTGTAAATCTTTTGAGTGGGTTGTGTATTTTTTTACTCATATATCTGTATTTAACATGCTACTTTAAGCATAAGATCCTGGTGGTACAACAGTGAAACCAGGTCAGCAGTCAGAACCGCAGGACAGCCTAGGAAACCCTAAGGGGCAGTTAGTTCTACTCTGTCCTATAGGGTCGATAGATGAGGCCAGACAGGCTTGATTGATGGGTTACACAGCAACTTTAGGCATAGTTGACTTGGCCCTTTCTTAAGAGGAATGCTTGAAGATTGTATGACTTCTTGCTTCTTCCATCCTCAAGAACTGCACTTGGACAGCAAAGAAAGGTTAGTTTGTGATCAGCTGGGTTTTCCCTGTGGGGAGTTTCCCTTCACCTGTTCCTTTGATACATTCTCTTTCATCTGGAGGTTGGAGGACCAGTCCTTGGCCCTTTAAATAAGACTCACTTTTCATGCTTAGCTTTTACAGGTCCTTGTGAATGGTGGATTTAGACACAAATATCATGAAAGGGTTTTTTCCCCGTTTTCTTATGCCCGTCTTCCTTTTCCTGGTACATAAAGATTCATAGTCTAGTGACCTCACACAGGGAGCCAAAAGAAGCAAGTAAAGTTTATCTTTTCCTGTCAACATAATCTTAATTTGCATATGTTAAAAAAAAAAAACACCTGAAGGAACACCAGACTTTACACATCATTTTTATTAGCAGTGGTATCCCTGAGAGGCAGATTAAGGTGTAAACGATCTTCTACTTTATCTACTATATATAAAAGAAAATTGAGGCAGGTTGACTTAGGATTCACACCCCCTCCAGTGCTTTCTTCATCAATCTATATAGGTATGCTAAATAGGATTTGTGTGTGCGTGTTTGACATTACAGCACATTTCCTAAATCATCTCAGATTCTGAGCCAGTGCTTAATGGTGTTTCTTCTACCTTCCGTCTACTTATAAAACACAATTGTGATAGTCTTCTCTTATGTGCTAGTAATGTTAAGAAAAAATTTTTATCAGCTGCCTCCAACACCAGAACCCTAACTGATCTCTGATCTAATATAGTCGTAACTGCAGAGTATCTGATTCCCAACCCCTCCCAGACCTCAGTCCAGCTACAGAAATCTCATTTAATATCAAACAGCTCCTTATCCCAGAGTTGAGCCATCTGGCCCTAGTCACCTCCTGTCCATCTTCAAAATAGTCTCTGAATTTTTGTCTCTCCTAGGGGCTGGTCCTTTAAAATATCACGCTCCCCCAGTGCCAGCTAGCTGTTTCCTGAACAAGAAAGATGGCACAGTCCTGGTCGTAAAGGCACTCGTGTTTCAGCTTAGACGATTGGCTTGTTGCACAGCCACGTCATACCACTGAGCTTTGGGGCTGCCCCAGCTTTTCCTAACTTTGTTTGCCATCTATCCTTGCCCCTCTAGCTATACAAAATATGGTACTCCTTAATGCTCCTATTTCTCACTCACTCAGCACTCAATTTTTTTTTTTTTCAGCACTCAATTTTGCAACTAGTTTTCGAACGTTCATCCCACCCTAATTTAGCCAGCTACTTCCCTCCTCTGAACAAAAGAATACCTCCCAGATATTTGATAGAAAATTCAAAGGCATTGCACTTTAACATTATGCATGGTGTCACTATCTAACTTTCCAGATTTCTCTACAACTCTTTAAACTATGTATGTGCATTTAATTATTTGTCCATGTCAGTGTGATTGGTTCTAAACTGTAAGGACAAGGACAGGGTCTGGTTAATGTGTGTTGTACATACAGGTTGCACCATAGTACTATTGACATACAGGCAATTTAATATTTGTTGATGGAACCCTGGTGCCATAGTGAGTTCTGTGGTGGACTAACTGCACTGTCAGCAGTTCAAAACCACCCTTGCTCCTAGGGTGAAAGATGAGTCTTTCCTCTACCGAAAAGAGTTACGGTCTAAAAACAAACAAAAAAGAGTTAAGGTCTACTTGATTATTAAGAGCAGTAATAAACACTTGTATTTAAAAGCTTTTAAAACCTATCTAGTTGAGTGTGTGTTTCACAAACTGGCAGCTCCACAGACCAAAGGGATCTCCCCTGCCATTAAGGTAATGATGGTAGGGCCTAAGTGGTCTATTTTTCTAATACACATAGATGTGGCAGTGGCTTCTGCTCGTTGTAGGTTAGTACTGATCGCCTACAGGATGCGCACTTAGGTGAAGTATGTGGGGTTTGGAAAATTCCATATTGGCAGCTTAAAATTTCTCATCACATCCAGCTGGCTTGCTCGCCGGGCTTCTGAGCAGATGAAAATTCAGATGTGAGGGGCAGAAAGATAATCAAGTTAGATGCTGTAAGTGCATTCCTCTTCTATTCTAAACTTTCTAGAACTTGGTAGAGGGGCGGGGGAGGCGGGGCAGGAGGGAGGAGAAAAAAAAAATCAAGGGTCACGCCTCAATATTTATATAGGGTTTATGTTGTTTTACCATATATAACACCTTGAAAAATGATTCATAGGGCAGAACCAAAGGCATTAAACTCTCCTTTAAGGTAAATGAAAAATGATAAATATGTCATTCTGAACCAAGCGTAACTGTGCAGAAAGAGTAACCTGTTTAGCACTTCCGCTACTGTCTCACAGAAAAGCTAGACTCAAGTATGAGAGAAGTCTCACAGCTTCTCCCTGAGATGCTTCTGGGGTGGGTTTATCCAGTCCGAAGTGTTGCTGAGGAACAGGATGGGGAAGGAAGGGTGCACATGAAACCCACGGGGCCTACCACTACCTCCTCTCTACCTACAGAAACCACATAGGCACTAGAGGGGAAAGGTGTCACCTGTCAATCCAGGTGCAGCAGAGGGGATGAAATTGCAGTCTTTATAAGATGACTGTGTTAGAGACTTGGCTTTAGATCCAGGAGAAAGAGAAGGAGCCGTGGCATAGACCCTAACGAGCATTTCCTGCACTAGTTGGGCACAGATCAGGAGAGGGATCTCATTGTTGGAAGACTTCCCAAACATTTTTTGAGGTTCTTGCCTTTCTAGATCCTTGGGGGCTTACTTAGGTGCTGACTGTGACAGAAGCTTCTCTCGTGTATGGATTTCTCGGTGCTTATTAAGGGCAGAGCTTTTACTGAAACTCTTCCCACAGTCATGACACCCATAGGGTTTCTCTCCTGTATGGGTTCTATGATGTGCACGTAAGTCAGAACTCTTACTGAAACTCTTCCCACAGTCAGGACACACATGGGGTCTCTCGCCTGTGTGTATCCTCCGATGTGCACTGAAATGCGAACTGTTATTGAAGCTTTTCCCACACTCTTCACACTGATAGGGCTTTTCTCCTGTGTGGGTTCTCTGGTGAATTATAAGGCTTGAGCTCTGATTAAAGCATTTCCCACACTCCCCACATTGGTAAGGTTTCTCTCCTGTGTGGATTCTCCTATGGGTGATAAAATTTGAACTGTCTCGGAAACTCTTCCCACAGTCAAGGCATTTATAAGGTTTCTCACCCGTGTGGATCCTCCGGTGTCTAATGAGACGTGCACTACGACTGAAGCTTTTCCCACAGTCGGTACATTTATATGGGGTTTCCATTTGGTGGGATATCTGATGCACAAGGTGGGAGTTTGAACCAAAGCTTTTGCCATATTTGAGATATTTAGAATGTCTCTCTTCCAGGTACGGTTTCTGATGATGTAAGACTTTCCCTAAGCTCCTCACAGGGAGGGTCGGTTTTTCTCGTCTCTCCCCTGGCGACCTTTCCCACTGTTTTCCTGATCCACATTCACTGTCACTGCCTTTGCTCTGATGATGACGCCGAGGGATTTTCCTTTCAGATCTTGCAAGCAATGTCCTGTGCAGCTGTACTTCCTCAGAAATATCCCGATTTTGATTCTTCTCATTCTTAAATCCAGCTTCGAAACCTAATATAAGAGTAGAATTTAAAAGTTACCAATTTCTTTAATGGTATGTACTTGGCCAAAGTAAACTTGGGAAAAGCAAATACTGCAATTAGATGATTAAAGATAAAAATTAAGGAGATCTAGAACCAAGAAATATTTAGTATATTAAAATTCAAGTATTTTAATTTTTTTTCAAATGCTGCATTTTTGTCTTTTCTATTTGAGGAGTCCTAGTGGCATAGTGGGTTATATATTGGGATGCTCACTGCAAGGTCAGCAGTTCAAAACCACCAGCTGCTCCAAGGGAGAAAAATGAGGCTGTCTACTTCCATAAAGATTTAGTCTTGGAAACCCACCGGGCAGTTCTACCATGTCCTATGAGTTGGGATTGACTCTGCCAGAGATGGCAGAGACACCTTTAAAAAGTTGCTAAATAGAACGCCTGAGCATTAGACCAGGCATTTTGGAACATCTGTTTTTCCTAGGATAAAGAAAATTATTTCACAGAAACTTCTTATCACAGTTTCTCTTTTAGGCCTTTAGTTCTTTTAAAAATTTTTGGTGTACCATTTTTATTCCCAACATATGTTAGAATTATGGGTGAAGTGACCCATGTAACTCCTCTTAAATGCAGAAATTTCCCAAAAATTTCCCTGGGTATCCTTTCTAATCCCCTAAAGGCAGAAACTAGAATAAACTCATTCCCATCAAGTTGATTCCAACTCATAAGTGACTCTATAGAGCAGTAACACTGCTCCTGGGGTTTCCAATACTAATTTGTCTTTAAGACTAATTTTTCATGGAAGTAGAAAGCCTCATCTTTCTCCCTCAGGGACGGTGGCTTTGAACTACTGACTTTGCAGCTGGCCGCCCATCGGGTAACCCGCTACCCCACCAGGGAAGTTGCAGTTATTTAGATGCTTCAGATAGCAACCCCCCAAATCTCTGAAATAATCTCAGCAGAAGAATCATGAAGAGCTTCTTCAACTGTGGTTTGTGAGGGTCATATAACCAAATGTGTGTGTGTTGGGGAGGGGGGTGTCGGGGTGGGGGCGGGATCTGGCAACGGTGAAAGATTTCTGACAGTGCAAATACCAGAGTATTTCCTAAAGCTAACTCATAATGCAGCTGCGGTGTTTCCGGCAGTGCTTGCCCGTCGGGCATCTCACAACTTCACTGCAGCCTTGGTTCTAAAGATACACCATGCACCCCCCCAAAAAAAATCTCCAGAGTTAGATGGACTTCACAATACTATCAAAACCATTGACATTACCAGAAGCCGTGGTTGATGTGTATACTTATTTTATACATACCTGGGGTCCTGTAAAATTCTCTGTTGAAAGGGGTCATGAGTGGAAACGGTTTAAGCAGCCCTGAGTACGAGTCAGAATTGACTCGATAGCAGTGGACGAAACCAGTGGAAATGAAACTAAGTGAACTTCACATCAGGGCGGCATCCAGACTGGAGATGGGCGTTGTGGTGACTACTAGCACACAGTGTGTACACTGAGCCAAAGATGCAGTGAAGTATCACGATGCAACACAACAAGAGCTCCCTGAACCCCTCGGATTCATTCTGTGTTTGATTTTGAATGGCTTTTTGGTGGTTATACATTCAGAAACCTTTACTTGTTGCCTGATTTTTTGCCACCTCCACATTCAGTGACATGACCCCACAGGAGTCACAGTTTAAAGAAACTCTGCATGAGACGTTCCATTAATCTATGATTTGCAAGATTAAATGAAATTTCAGAACTTTAAACATGACAGAGCTTCAAACAGTTCATGGTAAAATGAATGAACGGTAATGTAACTTTTCCATGAAATTCTTGCAATGCCTCCATGTGAACACGTGTATTGTGACAGCCAGAAGAGTATTCAGCATTTCCCAAAGCTACAGGCCGTTTTTCAGTGGCCCGCTCCATACTCCCTAGAACTGATGCTGCAAGGGATCACGTTGCAAACATGCTGACCTAAAGGGGAAAATAGAATGATTACTATTGAAGACCTACTATGTGCTCCCACCAGTGGTCAATTTGTTGCACTGTGGTTGCTTTCATGTTTCTAGGATACTGAAAGCCATGCGACCAGTATTTCAAACACCAGCAGGATCACACGTGGTGGGAAGATTTCAATGGAACGTCCAGACGAGGAAGAAAGCTTTTGGGACCTTCATTAACTGATGTGGGGCATGAACTCAAAATGAGGAGAAACAGCAGGTAAACACCCATTAGTAAGTTAGTGAAGGTGAGAAAGACTCTCAATGAGGCGGACTGACAGTGGTTTTAACAGTGGGCTCCAACATGACAACAGTTGTGAGGATGACACAAGACCGGGCACCTTTCCTTCTGTTGTGCACACTGGGAGTCAACTCGCAGCCACGCCGTGCCCCGGCCCTGTGCTGGGCCCTTCCCACAGCACTTCATTTACGTCAGCCCTAGGAGGTGGGTCTTCTAGAGAAGCAAATCAAAACGGGTTAGGTAACTTGCTTCAAATTACTCCGCACAAACATGATAAACACCTACATATGATTTCACAATAAACTGTCTCCCTACAATGAGGGATTCCATAGTGAAATTTTCTTTTTTTATACCATAACTAACAAAGGGTCAATGCCCTTAGAAGTCTCAGCCTTTTGTTCAAGTGGCTCTCAAGAAAGGAATTGACAAGTTTTCACGTATGTGAATAAAGCAGGCAACAACTGGCATACAAACACAAAGTAGAAGCAAGGGCGGATGACAATGAACTTCAAATTCCTTTCACTCTATTATGGGTATAGGACATGCCACTTGGGAAATTTTCGCTTTTTGATTCCCTGTGGGGTACACAAGGAGCCTGGGTGGTACAGCGGTTCAGTGCCCAGTACCTACCTGGAAGGCTCCACCCAACGGGAGAAAGAGGACAGGCAGTGCTCCCATGAAGTGTACAGCCTTGAAAATCCCTGGAACAGTTCCACTCCATTGTCTGGAAGCACTATAGCTCACACATAGGATGACAATTTACAAGATGTGTGATCATCTCCAACTGATCCTGGAGACAAGTCACAGGAATAAAGTTTTCTATCCCCTCACCGGACTGCTGTAATACGAAGGACCAAACCCAAAGTCAATGCCAGAGTTGATGCCGGCTCACATCACTCTGTTGGACAGGGTAGAACTGCCCCTGTTTTGAACTACTGACCTTGAGGATCATAGCCCAATGTGTAACCATTATTCCACCAGGGCATAGGGAAAAGAGAAAGTGGTCACAAGAAGAATGCATGAGCGCTGGATTACATAGGCCAGTTATCCTGGACCTCAAATGTGACAGCTATTTCCCAAATCTCACTGTCTGCTCTGCTGTTCAGACTGGGAAAAGTAAGAGTCTCTTACCACTGGGGCTCTGGAATAACACTGGGGCACGGGTGAGGACAGCCCCCGGCGGTATCTCCAGATCCTCGTCATCACCATCAGAATCTTCTTCTTCTATGGTCTCTTCTGCCTCTTCATCCTGCTTCTCAGCCTCGGCCTCACTGGTCCCTTGGATCGGGCAAGAAGCCGTCTCCTCTTCCAGGCCAGTACTGGGCAGGGCAGCGACCTGTGCACTCACCAAAGCATCCATCTCTTCAAAGAAGGGGCAGGTCTCTGTTGGTTGGCCATTCTTGACTTTTCGATAGCTCGTCTGTAGACTTTTAAACTTGGTCCGACACTGCTCAGGTGTCCTGAGGAAGCCGTGTTTCCATAACCGCTCAGCCACAGCTCCATACAGCTGACTGTTGCGATGACAGTTCCGAAGGGCTTCGTAAAACTGGGTCTCACTAAGGATTGCAAGGTACGTCTTGGTCTCTTCATAACCCCAATGGACACCTGCCACCAGAGAAGAAAAACTTCAGCATCACTTAACCCAGAATTTTAGCCTCAAATCCCTCAGGCCTACCATTTGTTAATAAAGACCCCTAGATAAAAAGATAAATCCTTCCTGGTCTCAAAACCTAGTCCTGGGGGAGTAATGGTTATGTGTTGGGCTGATAACTAGAAGGTTAGCAGTTCAAAACCACCAGCCATTCCATGGCAAAAAGATGGGACTTTGTGTACTCCCATAAAGAGTTAACAGTTTCAGAAAACCTCAAGGGCAGTTGTCCTGTCCTATAGGATTCACTGGCAGTGAATGAGACACCCTCATCATAGAATGTTCTATTTCCAGATGCCCTATAGCAATTTCACAAAGGTCTTCATTTCTATATTGAGAAATCGCTGCACCTGATCACTGAAGCATCACTAAACTCACTGAGACAATTGTACAGAATGCATTTTGTTATCCTTCACTCGTTTTTCTGGAGTTCCACTCCTAACTAGAAAATAACTAGTCAAGGGCAGAAGAACGTACCCAATCACCGTCGGCCACAAAAAGACAGTCCTAACTTCTCTGGCCACTCCTTTTCTACTAGCCTTACTTCCTATAGGGTCATTAGAAGTCAGAATTAATGGCAGTGAGGTGGTTGTTTTTTTCCATTTGCATCCTAGACATTCAGCTTCCCAAAGAATAACCCCAAGCCTCAAGACACTGTCTCTTTCAGAATCACACTGCTGCTGGATCCTCGGTGTGGCCCTTCTTAATTTGCCACAATCTCAAGTCCAGCAATGGCCAAGAACCTGAAGGACACAAGAGAAGGGCATTATAGCTATATACCTTGCCTGTAAGGGTGCAGGACTAGCAGAAGCCAGGAGAGGAAGCAGAGACAGCTATCTCTTGGACCCAGCACACACTTGGGCTGCAGACCCCACCCTTGGGCAATGCTTTCAAGATAATTAGTATCTGCTCCCTGCAGGGACCAAGGTCAAAGGAAAAGGAGCTTCAAGATTCTTCCAACTGAAAGCCAGATGGAGGTTAGACTTCTCCCATTATTCTCCACTCACTGAGAATAAAAGAGAATGGAGAAAATTTGGAAGAAAGAACGGTAGGAAAAAATATTTTAAAAGAACAAAGATAATATTGATACAGCTACTCCACATTTTGACTATCCTGTTACCCAACATTTTGCATTTATAATGATAGTAAAATCTATCTGACATTAACAACATACCTCCCAATGCCAAGTTAAGAGGAGCTCTGGCTGTGATGATTAAATTATGTGTCAGTTTGACTGAAGCTTGATCTTCAGTGGCTGGGCAGTTATATAATGACATGATTTAGCAATTATGTAATGGTATGGTAATGTTCCTTTTTCAAATAATGCTAATTTTCTTCTTTTTTCCCCCCAAATAATGCTAATTTTCACATACAGGCCTAGTCTTTGAAACCTAGCCCTGTTGACAAACAATAGATGTAGTAGACGCCGGTGGCAGTGGTTAAGTATTGAGCTGCTGGAGGGAAAGTTGGCCATCTGAACCCACTAGCTGCTCTGCGGAAGAAAGACATGGCTGTCTGCTTCTTGAGCGATCACAGCTTAAACCCCCTGTGGCAGTTCTACTTGGTGCTGCACACACTATGCAGCAAATATGCTTCCCCCTGCCCCTGAACTCCAGCACTTTGAGTTCTTCCTCTGTTCCATGGTTGTAAGAGAATAAAAGATATGAAAAAGGAGAAGGCTAGAACATAACTAAATTAGTATATATAATAAAAAATAGGCAAAAAGGTTCACAATAGAATTGCAACTTTAGAAATACAGTCCTATCTGAGGCGGGGCGGGGAGGGAGGGGAACAATGAGCTGATACCAAGGGCTCATGTAGAAAGCAAATGTTTTGAGAATGTTGATGCCAACAGATGTACAAATGTGCTTGACACAATGGATGGATGGATGGATTGTGATAAAAGTTGTATGAGCCCCCAATAAAATGATTTTTTTAAATAATCATAAAATTAAATATAAAAACAAAAAATATAGTCCTATCATCATCCACTGTTTAAATTCTAACTTGAAGTGAAATAACTGTCCAAGGTCTCCAAGCTAGCTAATAGTCAAAATCAGAATCAAAGCCTCTGGACTCAGCCAACTGAAATAACAAAATGTGGTACAGCCAGGCGGTGGGAGACTATTTGGCTGTAAAGAGAAATGAAGATACATGTTGCAATTAGGATGAACCTGGAAAACCCTACACTAGATAATAGTCAGTTGCAAAAAAGCCCACACGATAATGACCACATTCTTAGGAAAGTTCAGAGAAGGAAAAACTATAGAAATACAAATAGATTCGTGGTTGCTTACGGCAAGGAGAGGGAGTCCTTGAGCAGTGCAAATGGGTAAAGCGCTCGGCTGCTGCATCGTGGGAAAGACAAGGTGATCTACTGGAGAAGTCTGCCAGAGACATGGGTATGGGGCACACCTCTACCCTGACACAGTTTGCCAGGAGTCAACACAATTCAATACCAGCTAGTTAGGGCTGGGCGGGAAGGGGAGAGAGTAGGGAGCTAAGCTGGGGATTGCTAAAAGGGTTTCTTTTTGAGATGATGAAAATATAATAAAATTGACAGATGATGGGTACACATACTGAAAATATTCTAGAAATTACTGGATTTATGTACTTTAATTGGATGAATCGGATGATACGTGAATTATATTCCAATAAAGTGTTTTTTTAGGCCTCCTGATTCATACATCAATGTTCTTTACATAACACTAGTTGCACAAATTGCATTAATAGGTGACACATAAAAAATCATTCCATAGGCAATGGTATTTCAAAACAAAATGCTAAAGAAGCAGTTCTCTACAGACTAAAGCTGTAAGAATGTCCATGTTGATTATGAATAGCCAAACTCGTGTTTCCCAAACTCACTTATGGAGTTCTTGTTTAGTGAACAACCTGCAGGTCTAGTGCTGCTTGGACTGATCTAGGGAGGTGAGAGAGAAAATATCTAAAGCACTAAATCCTTATGAGTGCTAGCGCTGTAAAATAATACACCTGCTGCTTGCTTACCAACTATTGTATTACTGACTTCACGTTTACAACTGTAAAATATATTTTTTTAATATAAAATTATATATATGTATATATATATATATCCAGAAATTTTGGACATTAACAGGCAGCACCAAGCCTGTGGGCCCTGTTCTGGGTTCCCAATCCCTGGGCGGCCTGTGGCCCCACAGCTCAGGATCACGAGCAAGGAGGGATGGAGAGAAGAAAGGCATCGGAGGGTGTTGGGAAGAAACGTGTGCTAGCTTCGTGACATTCCAAGTGAGCAGAACTGGGCTGAAGCCCCCAACAGCACTGGGGAAGGCCCAACCTCGGGGACTCATCAGGCCCAGAGGGCAGAGCAGGCTCCCGGATCTTGAACGCTGGGTTTGTAGGGGTGGAAGTGGAGCCTGCAGACAGCTTTGTGAGGGACGCTTGACCCTGCACAGGAGGAAGGTGAAGTGGTTAAGCCGTGGGCCCTGCAGTCACACAGCCAGGCCTTGGCCAGATTTATCTTCTCCAAGCCGCCTCTGGAATCCACAGTGATGAACACATCGGTAAATCTTAGTTGTTATTATCTCCTATGTTCTAAATTTGAAAAGAATCGAGACAAATAGATGGTGTGAAAACTGAAAAAAATCCTGCATTTTCACATAACACCAATTTTCACATAACAACCTGGTCTTTGAAAGCTAAGCATGTCATTGAGTGAGGAGAGGGTGGATAGTGACAAGCTCTCCTCAGTGAGCCTGCAATCATCTTACAAGCAGGACAAAAAAAAAAATTTTAATAAAGGAATGATAATCCTTTTCAGAACTCTTGAATTTTCTGTATGTTTCTTTCAAAATTCTATTCCCTACCACCTCACTGCTTTCCCACAAAAGAGTATGTGACCACACAGAATTTAGAAGTGCCTTTCTGAGACCAGTCTCACCCCACACATCTAATCCCCAAACCAAAAAGTAAAGCCTCTTACCACTTGGGCTTTGGAACAGGACTGGTGCAGACGGGCTGTCCAAGTCCTGGCGGGGAGGGACCCCCTCATCCTTGTCAGATCCCTCAGCCTGTCCTTTTCTGCTTCCCCATCAGGCCACCAGCCCGATCATCACGCTCATTGGTCTCAGAATCACTGCCCACCAGGCTAGTGAGAGAGGCTGCCTCTTCCACACCATTATCCGGCAGGGCAATGACCTGGGCACTCGTCAGGGCGTCCATGTTGTCAAAGAAGGGACAAGTGTCAAGTGGGTGGCCACTCTTGACTAAGTTCTCTCCCAGGCCTGGAAGAAGCCAAGCTCCCCATATACTTGCTATGTCTATGACAATTTCAGAGTGCTTCATAAAACTCAGTCTGACTGAGAATTGTTAGGAGGATCTGGTCTCTTCACAGCCCCAATACATGCCACCTTCTCATCCTCCAAGCCCGGTGATCCTGTTCTACCCCGCTGCTTCTCTCTCTTCTGGAGGGGAGCAATTCAGCAGGTACTGTCGGTCTCTGGGGCAGATCTGGGATCTCTGGGTTTCCTTGCTCCAGCCTGGAGACCACACCAGACTTAAGAAATTGGAATCTTGCAGGGAAGCAAACAAAGGATACCATAGTTTGGACTGATCATTAAAAAAAAATCTCTGGGTTTAGCCCTGCCTTTTTTAACCCGAGTATTATTAGAAATGTATCTCGGGATTGTTTTCAGAAGCTCAATGAGTTGAGTTAAGGAAATACCAGAAACTGTTACTAAACAGAAATATTTCCAAAAGTAGAGAGAAGTTGTTTTTTTTCCAGAGCAGTGAGGGGAGAAAAAGGTTCTATTGTGTGACCAGAGTAGATCATTCTGTTCCCACTGGTTCCCTAACTCTCCTGATCACTTCTAGGCAGGAACTGCTGGGAAAGGTTCCCTCCTATCTCCTACAGATCTTGAGAATTAGATCAGTGATTATAATATAAGAAGAGGTATTTGTCTTCAACCCATTCGTTTCCTTCACATTTAGCCAGTTGACAAGTTCTAAAAGTGCTTCCCTTAGTAAACTCTCCCTACACCCTCCCATACCAGTCCAGGTTCCTTATTCCCACAAATATGGACAAACGCAGTCACTCCAGAATTCCAGGCTCCTCTTTCTCAGGCAACATGCTACACTGCTGCCAGGACAGTGTGTAGCACTGGGTAGCACACATGGGGGACATTGCAGGTTCGGTTCCAGACCACCATAATAAAGCAATAATCACAATAAAGTAACATGAGATTTTTGTTTTCCCAATACATGTCAGGTTTATATTACACTGTCATCTGTTAAGTGTGTAACAGCATTATGAAAAAGTCTGAACTGTTGAGATTATAAAAAATGTGACAGTCATGAAGTGAGTATGTTGTTGGAAAAAAGGTGCTGATAGACCTGCACGACCTAGGATTGAGAACTCTTACAAACCTTCATTTTATTTTAAAAGAGAGAAAGGGAGTATCTGTGAAGCATAATAAAGTGCAATAAAACGTGGGATCCCTATATTATCAAAACAGCTCCTATCATACCCCTTTCTCTGTTCAAACCTTAAACAACTCTAAATCTAGCCTTACCTAATCTATACTCCCCTGCAGTTTTCAATACTAGAATTTTCCATTCATATCAGACTGTTTTCTCTAGAGCACAGCTACATTTTGATTTACAATTTTGTGCTTTCTCTTTAAGGCTCTTCCCCTATCCAAATTTAATTCATCCTTCAAGAAGCCTTATCTGTCAATGTCCCTGAGACCCTACACCAGCCCTCCCCTCTCCCTCACCAAGCCCCTACAGTACTCACACAATCCAGCAACAAGTCACTGTGATACTGTTCCAAATGAGGGCATTTCAAAAAGGCATAGAAAGATGGAATGAAAAGATAAGGGTATTTTTAAATGAACTTTTGGAAACCCCCTCTCTTAGTTCCGTTTAGCACAGATATATCATATGCACTTGTTTGCTCAATCCCACTGTAAGCTCAGGTGCCCTGCAAGCTGTGCAGCACATGGAAGGTGTTCAAAAACCACCCACAGATTGAATTCTGCAAGTTTGGGGATCGGCCTTGGGGATTGGATCTGGTGGACTAAATAAAGACCATTTCCAAACTAGCTCAGAAGGCTAACATCTTGGATGATAAGATCAGAATTCCAAACAAGCTCAACAAGTTACAGAAATGATCAAAGAGAACAAAACCATACAGAATGGAGTTCCACAGAGTGCAAAGAAGAAAAACAAGTTCTACACAATCAAGTACAAGCAGCAGCAGCAAGGGACAAAGGCAACAAGGAAAGGGGTAAAAGTTCTGGGAGTCAACAGGGCAACAAAAATGATCAAACAATTGCACACTGGATAACAAGGAACAAAATGATGAAATTACAGTGTCTACTCTGCCTTCAACCTACCAACCCTCACTATATATGTGTTAGTTCTCTATAATTCATATTGCAGATGAGTTCATAAAACTTAGGTCTGAAGAATGGGGCTGCTGGGGAAAAGCTCAAAAATGAAACATAAGCTTCATTTGGGGAAGGAAATGACTAAAAGGGAGGAAAATGGGCTTTCAAGTATAAGTAAGAATTTCTATATAGAACATTTACGATGATTATCACATCAAAAGCAAATTAAATCAAGTTCTAAGAGAGATTAGGAAGCCATCCTTTATGGACTCATCAAAAGTATCAATAGTGAAATACTTATTGAAGGCAGAGAACTAAACTACATGTCTTCAGGAGGTTCCCAGCAACTGCCTATTGTACAATTTTCTACTGATCCCTAAAATCCCACCCTGCTTCCCGATTTAGAATGGCACCTGTCTGCCCACATGAATCTACTCCTCACCGCTCCTTTGGAAAGGTCTGAGCTTCTCCTTTGGGTTCATCTGCTGCTGTGGTCCCAGGTCTGGGCTTCTTGCCCTCTCTTTCTCAGGTATACCCCTGGACTGGGGTTCCACTGACTCCTGAGGAACACTTAATAACTCCTGTGATGATTTCGGGGGTGTCATCTTCTCCGAGCGCACTTCCTGCCCCTTCACAGAGACTGTGACCTAGAAACAACCCCCATTAATTGTCACTGCAAAGTCATTATGGGGGGGCATTCCCAGAGGAGATTGATTAATAACCCAAAAGAGATCATCATCATGGCTGGAGCTGTACCAGTCGGGCGCTATAACAAACAATCACATTACTGTCAATTTAGAGTAGCTGAAACCCCAGAAGGATAAGATCAAAAGAGCAAACCCAACTTCAGGCTCAGAAAATTTCCCCTTCCTTCCTGATTAGGAAATTAAGAATAACTTATTTCGGCAGGGGAAGCAACAATATGCCCAGGCAGCATCTCGACAAGCACTCTCTGAAAAAGTTGCCTGCCCCAGGATCAGAAGCATCAAGGGAGAATGTGCCTCCTCTTTAATCCTGCCTATACCTTCACCTGGCCTTCCTCCCTTGCCCATTTTCCAGTCGCACATTTCTCTATCCCCCATCTTTCTCACCGAACGTCCAGATCTTCCAGGTTCTCTTTCTAAATCTTCCACCAGAGCCACCGCCTCCTCTCCACTTTCCGGGCGCTGTTCCTGTACCCAATTCTGGATCTCCCCAGGTAAGACAGCCAGGAACTGTTCTAGCACCAACAGTTCTACAATCTGCTCCTTGGTGTGCACCTCTGGCCTTAGCCAGCGGCAGCAAAGTTCCCAGAGTTGGCTGAAAGCCTCCCGGGGCCCAGCCACCTCTTGGTAATGGAATCTCCTGAAGCGCTGTCGGAAGGGCTCCGAGTTAGTGCCATCCCCTCTGAGAGTGGGTCTGGCCATCGTTCACAGCTGGAAGCAGCTTCCCTCCACTTAAGGACCTATCTTCCCATGTCCTTTGGGGAATCACCAGCAGATGAATCTCTCTCTGAAAGAGGAGTTGCTTCCTAGGGTAGAGAGAGATGGCACTATCAGAATTTATAGTTCCAAAGTCTTGACTTCCCATATACTCCAAGTGGCCATCCGAGGTAGTACCATCTTGCGAACAGCAAGTCTGTCAGCAGAAGCTGCGTTTCTGGGCGACTTCCAGGGCAGCCCCAAGGAGCAGCAGGGATAGAAAAGTACTGTCTGCTCCTCTCCCACCTCCCCCAAATCCGAGCGCAGGTAGCTCCCCCGACCAACGCCACTCAGTGAGTTTGAACTGTACGGGAGGCCAGGAGTTCGAGATGATCTAAAGACAAGCCACCATCCTGCTGAAGGTAACAGAAAGCCTCTGTCCAGCGGTCGCGGTTGATTTTCCCCCAGGTACCCCAAGTTCTTCCCGAGGCCCAGGCGGGCCGCCCCGCCCACTCGGGCTTTACAACCAATTCCCAGCCCAGACAAAAACCAAGGACTAAATGTAGGGTCCTGCAAGGAACGCAGAGCTACTGAGGTAAAGGGTGCGCCTCGGGTGCAGCCGGCTTCAGTTCCTGAAACGAGGGCCAGGTGGGCTTGGGGAGAGCACACTGCGTTGGTAGAGAGGGAGTTGGAGGGGACAGTGGCGATGGGTCGGTCTCCTGAGGACGGCTCGGGGACTGGTCAGAGGCTCCGAGTGCTGTGGGGTTTGCTGGCGCAAGGCTCGGCTCCAGGAGCGGCGGGGACTGGGTGCCGGCCTCTTTGTCTTCGCTCCCTTCAGCCGGGTCACTCTCCAAGTCGCGGACCAGGGCCCACCAGAAACCCCCGACCAGGCTTAGGCGCCGGAGAACCCCTTCGGGCACACCGTTGGGGGCGTCTCCATCTCACACAGTCCCTCAACCCAATGGCATCCCTGCCCCCGGGCCAACCTCACCCAGTTCGGGCCCAGCCCCACCAGCCCCAGCTCGCCAGCCTCCCAGGACGGCTCCCAAACCGGAAGTCCGAACGGGCGACTCCGGGCACGGAGCGCGCGTGCGCAGGAGCCGCCGTCCCGCAGCCGTCTCGCTTGGAGCCCCCGCGGGAGTGAGAGGGTGGAAGCGACGTGGTCCGGCGCACTTCCGGAACTCGGCACGCCGGCCGTTCCCCGCTTCCGGTCCGCTCCTCGCG